GGCATGATATCAACAAATCATGGAGATGAGTATTTGGCGAATATATTGCTGAGCATTGATGATAATCGCTTGAGAAGCATGATTTTTGATCTTAAAGATCGGCCAATATTAATTTTAAAGATGTTGAATGGAGCTGATGATATTGGTAAGCTTAGCAGATTGTTCAATATTATTAAGTCAAGTGGGATTAGCGAGCAAAATATGCAAATTGTGTTAGATGAGATTGTGATCAATGCTAAGATTGTTAATAAGATGATAGATAAGCCGGAGAATGAGCGGAATGCAATACTGAGGGGAATTGATAATACACAGCTAGTTAATAAAATAAAGTGTGCGGTCAAAGAAGCAGAAAAGCTAAGAAAGGTAGGGATAGCGACAATAGCAGTAGCGGTGGTAGTGATTGAGGCATTGTTTACAAGAATGAGTATAAAGGATGCATTGAATAATGGACATGCAATGAGTGATGAAGCAGTGATAAGTAGGATAGCGATGGCAGCAGTGGCAATGCTAATGATGCTGAGTGTGATTGTGTATGTGAAGTGTGCAAATAGGCCTGTGTGGTATGACAGATTGATGATAGGAGGAAGCTTAGTGATGGCACTGGTGAGAGTATTCATGGGTGTGTTTGGAGGAATGAGAGTGAAAATGATGGTGGTGATGAGCTTGGTGATGGTAATAGCGAGTATAATAGCGATTATTAATAGCAGGATTAATAACGGTAATAATGAAAGTAGAATAGCGAAGAATGTGATTGTTGTGCTAAGTACGCTTGTAATGGTAATTACAGGATGGGTGACACAGAATGTGCATGTGACTAATGTAGTTAATAATTAAATGCAGTAGTAGTGATGTGTTGATAGAAAGAGTAAGAGAAAGATAGATTGTAGCTGCGGGCTTAATGCCTGGGTGGATATGATATGCAGAATGGGAGACGTTGAAGCAAGGCTAATAGAGGATCTAAAGCAGTAAAGCAAGCTGAGATGAGGAATTCGAAGGCAGGGAGCTTTGTAAATAATGAATGATAAGCAAGCTTATGATATATTCCAGATTCTTTGATCTGTGACAGCCTATGGTTTTTAAATATCAGGTAGTGATGCATGCATATGTGTAGTGGATATGAACATGAATAAAATATATTTGCCTAAAATGTATATGCAGGAGCATAGATACTGTGAATATGCTAACCCACTCTATTGAAGGATGAATTCAAAAAATCGTGAAGTCAATGGCCATGCTGATGAAAAAGCAATAATGTCGAGCATTGAAGAATGTGTGAATAAAATTAATAATGATTGGAACGAATGCATACATTATGATACTAAAGGAAAAACGCCATCTGATATTCACAATGCGCTTCAAAGTATTATACAAATAAATGATGCTATTTATGACCAATACATGAATTTAATGGAGCAATTTAAGCAACTGAAAGAAAGGATAAATAATAACAGACAATATGAAAATGCAATCAAACCGTTGAATGATAGCATTAAGAAATCGAGAGTAATACAGTATCAAAAATACATTGAGCGGAAATTAATAGCTAAAGAGTGTACAGTAGACACTAATGGAAATCTGGGTGAAGAGTTAAGCAAATATAACAAACCAGAAGAAGTAGAAAAGCATATAAATAGTTATAGAGAGGTATTTTTAAAGTTACTCTTCTGGCCACTATATAAAGAATGCTGTGATAAGTTTAGTTGTCTGAGCAAAGAAAGCAGTTTAGATTTTTATAACTGCAATTTGGATGGAGTAGTTTCTGCGTTTCTGAAGGAATTTAAAAAAGAGAATACAAGAGAATATCTGGACATAGACTTGATTTTTAATGAATATAGTTATAGAAAGATGCCGATTATCACTATTATAGCAAATATGATAAGAATGAGAATACAGTCTGAGTATGCATACGAATTAGTCTTTAAAGATGAGGATATATTTAGCTTGGCGGTTCTTAGTAAAAAAAGTGACAAAGATCTTGTATTTGAAGACATTGTAGCTGTTCAAAATGAACTTAAAAATGAGAAAAGCAAAATATTGCAGGCAATAAAGTCGCAAAGTGTAGATGATATTTGCCACAAAACAAAGCATGCCATTTGGTATAAACATGATCTTTATAAACCGTTTTATAAGGATAATACCAAGCGATATAAAGGCATTGGCTCTAAATTGTTGGAAATAGTAGGTCAATTAAATGACTATGGGAAAAGTTCGAAGTACATAGCATTTGAGATAGAACAGGATTGTCTGAAACGTTATGGAAATAAAGATCGAAATGGCCAAATAGAGGATCTGAAAAGTCTATTTGAGCGATGCGGGTTCATTTTAAATGGAAAACTTTCAGAGGAACAAAACAGATTGTTAGAAGAAGATCTTAATAGGACTCGTATTGATAATCTTAAGGAAAAAAACAGATTGTTAGAAGAAGTTCGTAATCTTAAGGAAAAAACGAATGAAGTTAATAAAAATTCTAAGCATAAGCATAAGCTATTGCTAGAGATAGTGAAAGTGAAAGTGATAGAAGAACTAAGTAAATACATAAATGCACATAAACCGAATGAAAAATCGAATGCGAATAATAAAAGTGATGAATATGAGCATAAGATACATGATGAATTTATGAAAGAACAGAAATGCCAGAACATAAGAATCGAGGAGCAGATCAAAATAATGAATTTGCTAAAACAAAAGATAAATAAAAAAGCATCTATTGAGCCGTATAATGATGACGAATATTATAAGAATACAGAGATGCTGAGGAATTTGATTGAATTGAGTATGGTACAGTCTTCAGCACAAGATTTGGAGTATAATGTTCTAAAAGTAAAGAATTGTGAGATAGATAAATGTATGGCAGAAAATACTTATATGCCCTATATGGCTATGTTGAAGCAAGCGTTGGATTCTGATGTAAAGAACAGCTTAGATTCAGAGTTGAAGCATGGAGATGATATGATTAAATGCATAGAAAAGATAATACAATGCTATGCCGAATACGTTCCTATCGAGATATATACAACGGATATGCTTGAAAATAAGAATAAAATACTAGAAATATTGATCAAAGCTCAGCATGGAAACTACTACAATGTATGGGAAATAATGGAGCTACAAGTCAAAATTAAGATGTTTTATAAAAAAATAAAACTACTTATGGAATGTATGTTTAAAAGCGTAATAATTGAACAGGATATAGCTTTAAGGAAACCAGAAATACAAAGAGTTGCAATAAAACCCCAAAAGAATAATTGCAATAATAAAATAGATGAGGGGAATGCAAAATCGAAAATTCAAAAATGTATAAAATTTTATAACAAGCTGGAAAATCAAATTTTATATGATAATAATAATAAGAGTATTGTCATACTAAATAGAATTTTAATGATGTTATCAGACAACACCTCTAAGAAAGTTGTTTCAAATAATTTGAATTATTTGATTGATCAGGTGGGATTAGAAATACAAAATATAGTAGCAGAGCATAAAATATGTGGTAATAAAGGAATAAATAAGGAAGATGCAAACAAGATAGCTAGGATTTTTTTATATAAAATTAGCATAAAGTATATAAATGATCATCAAAGCAATAATTCAAAGGAAAACTTTTTAAGTTTTTTAAACTATGTTGCCTTAGATGAGAATTCCTCGAATGATTGCGCTACTAAACAGAAAGCCAATACAACTATCGCTAAGAAAAGTTATAAGCATGCAGCAACACCTAAAATACCTAATACACCTAAAACACCTAAAACACCTAATACACCTAAGATAGCACGCAGCCCAGGAGATGTAGATAAATCAGCCAAAGTCCAAAATGGATTCATGCAAAGAAGGAGTAAATATACTATTGAGAGTATAAGCCCACCTGTCTATGATGGTGATAAGCCTGTAGTGCATCCATTCATTAATAGTAATAATGATGAGCCTGTAGTGCATCCATTCATTAATAGTAATGGTGTTACTGTCACTGCCACTGAGGTTGATAAAGATAAAGGTAAGCATCCATTTGAAAAGGGTTATAATAGTAATGCCAGTTTATCTAGTAATAGCATAGAATCAATAAAATTCCGTATTATACCGAATGCAGCCGGATTCCTAATAATACTGATGCTTCTGCTGGGTTTAACAGCAAATCATATGTTTTCTATTGATATCAGTCAAATTAGAATAGTTTCTGTGCTTATACAGCTTGTATCCATGGCAATAATATTTGCATTTTGCTTGTGGGCAATTAGAAAGCATTTCCATGCATGTGCCAAAAAGCAGAATAATAAGTCGACAATTGACATAGTTATGCTAATATTGTCCGGATTATCGACGATTCCGTTAATGACAATCAACATGATGAATAAAGATGCAACTACAATTGATGACTTGTGTATGTTTATGGCAATATCATTAATTATAGAAATAACAATAACGAATATTATAGCAGAGCAACCATCGACGATATTCCAAGCTATTCTAGTAATTGGTATGCTGGCAACGCTGATTCTGCAAGCTGGATATTTGGCATATGACGAAGCATGCACAAAAATATTTCATATGAAGCTGGATAAAATCATTATGATAATAGCAATTATTATTTTTGTTTCGAATATATTACTAGAGCTGATGAGTAAAAGTAAAATTGATGATAAAGATAGCAATAATAAAAAAGTATTTATGAAGCTTTTGCATGCTGTAATGGTAGGAATTATAGTTGCAACAGAAACAATCAGCAGAGTCGTCGTCATTAGAAAAAATAGCAACAGAAGTGATATTACAGCAAACTGAAAATCCAAATAAATCAATTATGCATATTCCAGGTTTTATGGCATCCACACATACTAATTGCTTTAACATTCTTATCTATTATTGATTTATTTCATAATATTTACCAAAAAATTTACTGAGTATTCCTCCATTATTATTGTATGATAAGCCCTCACCAGCTACTTTTTTCAATGTATCGCCCACCAGCTGCTTAACTGTTCCTTCACACTTGTTTTCAATGTCATTCGTTTCTTTCACACCAAGCATCTGGATCTTTAACATCCAAAGCATACCTGTGCATCCAACTATAGTGCAGAGCACAGCGGGGATAATCAAAAGTGTCTGCTTCTTCCTAATAATAGATTCAAACCAACTATTTGTGCCAATAAATAATTCAAAAATAACCACATATACAAGTCTCAGGGATAATAAAGCTATTGTTGGAAACATGGGAGATGCCCAACTGAAAAAACCTTTTTCATCATATGAGCCTTTAAATTCTTTCAGCCTGCATATTGTAATGTATCCAAAAACTCCACGAGCAAGCTCTATAAAGATGGCAGAGCTTTCGCAGTCAATTATAGACTGTGCTGTCAAGAACATATATATTGTCTGTGTGACAATCATGAGCCCAGGATCAACTCTAAACTCATTCTTGATCTTATCCAATGCTTTAAAGTCCACATAATTTTCATCCAGTCCCATCTTATTAAAAACCCATTTAAGAGGTGTGACGCCTAATGTCTTCAGGCCATACTCTTTGATGTCTTTCAAGCTTACTTTGTGATTGATTATGATAACTGCAATAAAAAATATAAATATATGGGAAACCATAATGGCTAGTCTTAGAAAATCAATCGCTGTAAGCGGTTTCTCATCATCCCTTTCAAATTCTTTCATCAATATAATGATGGCTTTCAAAACTAGATAAAAAACAGCTATGGCAGGACACACTGCATTGTACTTTTCATAGCTTTTCATATCAGCTGCTATTTGATACTGCAAAAACACAAAGCATGAAAAGAATAGATCCTCAGCCAGTCTCCATTTAAACCCCATACCCCAATTAAATTTGATTCTTCAAAATCATTTCCATCTACCATAAGTAGACAAGCAAAAGCTAATTTGTTTAATTTAATGCTTTTGCAGAGCCAATGACATCAGCCTTTCAAGCACTGTGTATTGCTCCAGAGACAAGGAGCCTACTTCAATAGATCCCACACTTATCTTGCTGATGGCTTGCATCTTGAGCGAGAGCTCTTTTGTAATCTTCATGTTGCTGTTAGCAATGTCCCCAACAACTTCAAGTATCCTATTTCTATCGTGCAGAGAATCAAACACACTCAACACATTCAAATACATCTCTGACTCAATCTCTTCGTTTCCTCCAAGCACATACTCCCCACTCATCTTGTTGTTCTTCCACCTGCCATAAAACAAGTTTGTATATTCTCCATAATGTGCATATTCTTGACCACATTCATAATCTTTGCATAGTTCAACAAGCTCCCGTATCACAAGATTCACTATTTCCTCATGTTCTTCCAAAAAATCTATCCGTCGAACAAATTCCTTCAAAACCAAATCTCTTGTGATCTCTGGAAAGCACGGCAAATTCTTTAAAACATCATTTGCTGCAATATATCCTGCTTCCGAGTCTCCACTACGAAACGACTCCTCCACTGCCTCAAATAGCCTCAAAATCCATTTCTGGTCATCCGTTTCCTTCAATGCATTCAGAGACAGCATACAGCCTCTGCGAATCACATCCGACGTCTTCTTGCATCCCTTACAATAAATTGCCCATCCATCATCATACTTCCTATGCTTAATACAAAGACTCATCATAGATTTGTTCAACGACTCGCACGATCCATCTCTGTTTAGAGACCAAAAGTGTACCCTTTCCTCCCACTCCATCTCCTCCTTTCTGTGGGCTATCCATTCATCAATATCCTCAACAAGCATGGCCTGGTCTACATCAATCGCCATGCCTATCAGCTCCGTGTTCTCCACAAAGTGGCTTTCCAGCGACATGTCCACTGCTGCCAACTCTTTCTGCAGCTTATCTACCAGAGAGCTGTTTTCTTCCTTCAGTGCCATCAGCATGCCCAGCCTCATCACGCCCTTCGTTGGACCTGACAAGCTCAACACTTTGAAAAACCTTGATGGCTCAACCCTCCTGAACAAAACAATCAGTAACAGCTCTGCATCCTTGGAAGAAATACATTCAATATCAAATTCACTATACTTGTTGTAAACCTTGTACATCAAGGACTCAAGAACTTGCTCACACTGAATGTTTATCATTTCGCCTGGAAAACATCTACTGACAAGCTCAAGGATCCTTCGTTGCTTGCAAGTGTGCGTGTCTTTGCGATTTGGTGCTGTAAGGCAGTCTGCTCTCTCAAGAATCCGACTGATATCAAACACCTCCCTCTCACAGATCTGATCAAGCACAAAAGCCTCAACAACAAAAAAATCCTCAAACACAATTGGGGAAATCTCCATCACATGATTAGATACACATGCAAGCAGATGGCAGTATATCTCCACCACATCATGTGGCGTGGATATGCACACACCTCTATCACACAATGCACATTCCTCATCACGCTTTCCCCATGACTTTACCAAATCAATCACTCTATATGCAGCATCTATTACCATAGCAAGTCTATTACCATCAGGCTCATCAGTGCCCTCGTCAACGTTAACCTCGATTGTCTCCATAAATCTGAGGGTGCTGCAGCCCATCTATTACTTAAACCAAAACAAACCCTGCCAATTATCATTGGATCGCTTCGAAACATCATTGTATCCAATCGCCCGACTACCCTGTGATTCTTTTGATAAGCTCTGTACTTGATCTCCTTTCTGCACACATCCAGATTCTTACTTTGAATATCTTGAACAGGTCCTTCAGAAGATCCCGGAAATCTATTCTTTTATCGCTTCGGAAATAGAATGTTATTTTCTTGGCATCCCATTGATATTCACAGCTCAGAATATCCATGTCCAGCCTTCGAGAGCTAACCATCTCTCTGCACTGCCTTAATGACGTGGCCTCCATCTCCTTCTTTTGCTCCAGCTTCTGCACATCATCACCAGATGCTCTTCTAACGACTTTTATCAGCGCAAGCTCTTTTCTTACATCTTTTATCTTCATAAGATGGCTCTCAAACCTATATTCATCCATGACATTCACAACCTTTCCGCAATCCTCGCCCCTGTCTGCTTCAAGTATCACATGGCTGTTTACATCAACGGCTTGTGCATAATGACTAATCTCTAATCTTCCGCTTGGAAACTCAATAATAAAATACCATTTCTTTGGAAACACACTTGCCAGCTCCATCGACATAAAGCTTGTTCGTCTAATGTCGTCTTCAGCCAGATCATCCGATGAAAACTTGTTTGGCGTCATGCCCACCACTCGCCACGCAACCGATCCTTCGCTCCACTTCTCATTCGTCTCGCTCCAAATGCTACCTGGCATATATGGAATCCATTCATAGCTATTGAACATCTGCAGAAACATGCTTGTTCTTTTATTTTTACATTGAAAACTTGTTTTGGATGCATGCTTCTCATGTTCGTGGTCTTCATAACCTAGTGCATACATTTCTACTCCACACTTACAGTTATACGGTATGCCATACAATACTCCGCCAAAACATCCTTGATATGTCATATGAATAGGCTATCATTCTCATTCTGCAGAGCAGATACAACCGTTTCTCCACAAGGTTTCAAGCAAAAAACAGAGTGGTCGCGCCGAGATTCGAACTCGGATTGTCAGATTCAGAGTCTGAAGTGATAACCATTACACCACGCAACCTCCAATAACAAAACGGCTTCTTGCCCTGAGCACACTGCAAACACACATACAACAACTGTTTCAAGATAATGCTTTCAAAAACATCCCAAAACATCTGCACCCTACAAATGAGTTTTACGGCATCATACTACATAAAGCAAGCATTCAGATTCACGGGGGACTTTCTCCATGTTGCATCAAAAGTCGTGCTGATAAGGAAAATTTCAAGGACAAAGTCTTGCAGCGGCTTGTCGCTCAAAACCCAATTTATCTACGGAATGGTGTTTGTTCTAAGATACATAGACTTGTTCAGGTTTTATCCTGATGATCCTCTTGCTGCATACAACATGCTAATGAAAATTCTCTTCATAGGGTTCCAGACACTCATTCTTTTCACAATGAGATTTAAATATTTCGCCACATACGACAGGAAGTGGGATAAGTTCAATATCGTTGTGCTTATAGTTCCCTGCTTTGTGATTTCAATGATCTTCACAAAATCGTCTTCAAGCGCCGAAGAATTTAGCTTTGCGAGGTATGCATATGGGGTGACGTACACCATGTCCTTACTGCTAGAAAGCGTGGCAATTCTTCCTCAGCTTGTTCAACTCCAGGAGGCTGGGGAGTCTGAAACAATGACGTCAAGGTATATTCTGCTGCTTGGGCTGTACAGAGCAGCATATACAGTTTACTTTGCAATCAGAAAAATATTCGAAGAGAAAGGCAATGCTTCCACAAGCCTTCCGCTTGCCTGTGGAATCATCCAAATACTTCTATATGCCGATTTCTTTGCAATATACTATAGATATGTTTTCAGGAGATCCGGCATTTCCGATGACTTGGGGAAGAAGAGTGAACTATAAACACATTTGCTATTCATGTTTTTCATATAGTATATCCCTGACAATATGTTTCTTGTTCCATTGACAATGAGAAGCAGCTTGAACTTAATGTCAAGGTTCAGCCCAAAGAAGAGCAGAACTATTGTGCTAGATGATGTACTATACTTGCTGCTGTGGAATGAGGAGTACTTGGAGCTGGTCTCCATTCCTCTATTGGGTCAAGGCGAAGAGCAATGCTTTGTAAAAGCAATCTTTGCGCTCGACGCATCTATTATTGTGGTAGACAACACAATTCACATATATGCAATTGCAAGAAATAGCCTGTACTGCTTTAGAGATAGGCTTAATGTTTTCACTGAGATACCTCATTGCTTTGAATCTCCAGAGATCAGTGCATGGGACAGAAATCTAGTGGTATTCGATAGAAACATGTTCTATTCATTCACCGGTGACGGGTTTAGAAACCTCCATATTTCTCCATACTTCAAAAGTGTGAGCTATTACACATGTGGCAAGCTCTCTGATGTAGATGTAATTGTCTATCAAACAAGTAAATATACATCGATATACGCAATCGACGGTAAGCCCGTACTGGAGAAGCATCCTTTTGTGGGGAGTATATTCGTTAGAAATGGAAAACTGTTTGTCCATGAGAACGGACGGTTTATTCATGAGGTTTCAAATAGAATGGAGATACTCACAAGAATAAATACAAACATCAAGAGGAATGTGGTATGGAAGGAGATGCTTTATTGCTCAGAAATGCTTTGTATCAGTGGGATTGCACCAGGGCCAGGAAGTAATGTTCTCTATGTCGATGGCCATCTGTTTGATACAAAAGACTTTGTTCAGTCGTTTCTGGTGTACAGAGGTTGTTTTATTGGAATTAGTGATAGTTTTGTTTACTTCCTTCCAAGCGACAAGGATTGGACAATGAAGCTATTGAGCAGTGAGGAAAGACTACTGAATAATGCACTCAACGGAAACTTCACGCCATACACATGCAGGAATTTTGGATTTAATAGCATCACAAGCATTGAGAGGCAAAGAACGCCAGTAGGGCACTTTCTAGCATTTCTGGTGTATTGTGGATTCAAAGTTGAATGTTACAAGCTGATATGCAATAATCTTAACAAGTTACAAGGAATTGAAGGCTCTAGCTCTAGAAATCATGATGGAGATGATGCACAAAAAATACTCAGAATGCTGAAGATTCTGAACGAGATGGGCAAATTTGGATACAAGGCATATAAGGTATTTGTGGGGACGCTTATTGATGCTGAAAGGATATACACAAAGGCCACAGAAGTAATAGATACTGAAGATATCAATGAGGATATGCTGATTAGGATGCTAGAGATATCATTTAGAAATGTTGATTTTCTTGAAAGCCCAAGGTACTTCCTGATAAAAGGTAAAAAGCAAATGGAGCAAGGAGTGGACTTTATGAATTGTTTTTATAGATGCGATGGTATGTTTGATGAAGTATTGGATATTTTAGAGCAAAGAAGACGGGTAGTGGAGATAGTATTGATATGGAAGAGGACCAGGAATTGCCGTAAAGAGTCTCTCGAGCTGTTATTGAAGTATAAGCTTGCTTATCTTGTGTCTTGCGAATATTCAGATGAGATGATTAGTGGCGCTGATGTTTTAGAATGCCTGTGCGAAATGTGGAGTAGAAGCAATCGAAAGGTGGAGAATGCAAGATCGATTGTAAGCTTTATAGACGGCAGGTATGATCTTGTACACGGATGTTTGCTTCCTCATGGATTAAGGATTCTTGTAGGGCCAGTGATAGTGGAGATATTTTTGAAGCAGCACTTGCATTTTGAGCAGGCTGTTTTATTTCTATTGCATAATGGAATGAAAACAGAGGCATCAATGCTGTACTATTGTAAGTTTTGTAAGACAGGGGAAGCTGTATTTGCCGACGCGTTTCTGAAGAATATTGATGAAAAGGTTTTTACATATGAAGGCAAGTTTGTTGGGAAGGAGACATTTGATGAAGGATGCGTGCACAAGCGCGAGAGCTATAGAAACAATATATTGGAAAATCTTGAGATTGCTAAGAAAATGGACGATGCATGCCTATGGACAGACTGTTTGAAGGCGGAGGATGAGTATCCAAATGAGTACGAAGAATACATGAAGCTTCTCAAGCAAAAAGGAATAAAACAGAGCAATGGCTAGATAATTGGCCTAGTAAAGATCTAAGTCCATGTGGCTGGAATATTAGAACGATTATGAATAAGCACTGCAGCATCTGGATGGACACATACATGCATGGAGGTACGATAAGTAGAGCTATGAATATTTTGATGGAATTGGCAGGATCAGGTTATAGTTTAATTTCTTTTGTGCCATTTTTTAACCCCACGGAATGGCTCAATACAGTGCTAAAGTTTCTGATCTTCCGAATCCATCATCGGACACTGTTTCTGAGCTTGCATTTAGTAGCATGCACGGACTGATGGCAACATCAAGCTGGGATGGGACGATCAGAACGTATGATTTGGAAAATCCATATAGTGGAAGCAATAGGGTTGTGAGCTTGAGCAAGCCTCTGCTGACGTGCTGCTTCAGCAAAGAGAATCCGTCGTTGGTGTTTGCAGGCGCAGTAGATGGGAGCTTGCAAATGGTGGATTTGCAGAGCAATCAAACATCTTTTTTTCAGGCACACAGTGCAGGTATAAGATCTGTAAGATACTTTTCAAACATGGTTGTTACCGGATCGTGGGACAAGACAGTTAAGTTTTGGGATGTCAGGTCGTCAAAACTTGTGTTTTCGCTAGATCTTTCTGGAAAAGTGTATGCCATGGATCTTGAGAAAGAATTGCTGGCGATGTCTCTCTCTGGAAACGAAGTGGCTACATACAACCTGAACGACATTAACCAGAAGAAAAGCCATGCTTCGAAGCTTAATTGGATGATAAGGTCAATAGCATGTGCACAGGACAACGAAACGTTTGCACTTGGAGGGATTGAGGGAAAGGCGGAGATATTCAACATCAACTCCCCGGTGAAGAAGATGATTTTCAGATGCCACAGAGTTGACACCAAAGTTTATGCGGTTAATTCGGTTTCGTTTCTGCCAACGAACCAGAACATACTGGCAACAGCTGGAGGGGACGGAACGATTGTGTTTTTTGATTCGCAAGCGAGAATGAAGATTTTTACGCAGAACGAAAGCCATCCAATAACATGTGGGAGGTTCAATGCAACAGGATCGTATTATGTATATGCCACGGGGAATGACTGGTCCACAGGATATGCAACAACATACAGGCCCACACAGCTGAAGGTTATCCAGGTCAGTACCACAGGTGTAAAGATATGAACAGTGTATGCTGAGCATAGAGGCTCTTGAGCAAGTAACTGATCTGTCTATAATAGTCTATAATAAATCTATTTATCCAAAACATTTTGCCATGAAACAGACGAAAATGGCCGAATGAAACGCAGTGATGTTAATGCAAGTACTGGTAAACAACATAAATATTGGAATGTTGATGCTCCTCTGGATACAGTTTGTTATCTGCAGTAGACTACTGCGATTGAAAAACAAGGAAGACATGTATGCTACAAATACTGATGGAAACCTGACTCTACAATCGCCAAAGCTACCCACATTATCGAATCAGCACGTGGTAATCCATAACAGAGCGTTGTATTTTTTCAACGATGGAGTATACTACACATTGGCAATGGCCCAGGGAGGGCTTGAAATCAAGCTGATTGCTTACAATGCAATCGACGATCGAGGAATACGGTTTCTTTTGTCAGCGCCTGATTCCCAGGTCGATGAGCACAAGAAAACAATCAATCCTTTTGAATATCTGTCTCAAGGCAGGCCAAAGGATGGACGGCGGTCGAGGATAGAAAATCGCACACGTGATGACCAGCACAGAGCCCGTTCTATGAATGACAAAATTGCCCACAGGCAAGTACCTCGTCGGTATACCGACTTCCATGCCGCCGAGGGAAGGCCTGAGGGAGAAGCATACATTGCAAAGGCAACTATTGAAAAGCAAAAGCAGGTCAATCACGACGGAATCAGCACGAATACAAGCCGTGTTGGCGTGATTATCAAGAATAACGCAATTGCAACCGATAAGCACGAGGACGATGTATCTGATGCAGCTAAAAACGATGCTGAATTCGGTAACAAAGCTAGGGAAATGCCAAAGGTGGATGCTAGCATTGCCGAATACTTGAGTGTGGAGTCGAGTGGTGCACAAAAGCGATATGGATCATCAAGAGTAATTGAGCATCTGGTTGAAAGCGACTCGAAGATGGACTATCATGAGTTTGGATATGTGATAAAAAACGTGAATGTGAACGAAGTTGATGGGGAGGGCAGCTTCCTTCTTGTTGGCAACAATGACTCCTGTGTGACATACTACAAGGATTCGTTTATATTTATGCCTTGCTCAAGCTCCACAGACCAGATATTCAAGCTGGAGTCTGCAGAAGATGTTTTAAAGAAGAAAGCAGCAAGTCGTTTCGGCCAATATGATTATCATGGCAAGAGTGAGGCGGAAAACGAACATGAGCATTATGCAACTACAGAGAGGAGGGAAGCAGCTGGGCATGATGCCCATGGAAGTTCATATGGCAAGAGTTTCTCAAGGAAGGCGCTTGCGCATGGCGATTATGGGCTCTATGCAGATGAGAAAGGTGCTAGGGGGCTATCTAAAAGTAGCCATGATGTTCTGCATGGTAATGGATATGATGAGTCAGGCTCCAAAGCAAAGCCTTACAGATACCTGGATGATGATCTGAAAAAACGAATAATGAGCAGGGCAAAAGCAAGCATTGGGGTAGATAATGTAAAAGTAAATGAAGAGAGGATGGACGAGCAGAAGCCTGTAGACGATAATTCTGGCTCTGAAAAAATAAACGAGAATGCAGAATCAAAAAAGCACGTGGCCGAGCATGTGCTTATACCAGATGTAGAGAAAAAAACAAGGAGCCGCTTAGAAGGTGATGTTATGGGGCGATTTAGAAAGCTATTGGCTGGAGAGTTCGAGGACGGCATTTGAGCATGTCGTAAGCAGCAAAGGCTCATTTTCTATCGATGCTTGTTTCTAGAATGGAATTAATAATAAAGTTAATGAAAGCTATTGATGATTGATATTGATGAGTGTAATTGTTGGCATTGCGGAATACCCTGCATGGAGAGAACATTTATAATGATCAAGCCTGATGGTGTCAAGCGTAGACTTATTTCAAGTGTAATTGAGCGCTTTGAGAAGAAGGGGCTTTACCTAACTGCCTGCAAGTGTATGACTCCCAGCAGAGAGATCCTGACCGAGCACTATGGGCATCTATCGAAAAAGCCATTTTTTGAAGACATGGTGAATGGGATGATGTCTGGAATGGTTCTTGCAATGGTATGGAGCGGCGATAATGCAGTGTCGATTGGAAGGAGTATACTTGGGGAAACAAACCCACTGACAGCACCGATGGGAACCATTCGAGGCGATTATGGAATTAGCATTGAGAAGAACATTGTGCACGGATCTGACTCGGCTGAGAATGCAGAGAAGGAAATCAAGCTGTGGATTGGAACTGATGTCCAGGCTGTTGTTCCTTTTGATAAAGAGTGGATTTATTAAACTTTATTTGAATAAAAGCCTTATTCGTATTTTTAGTTTTGGTTTGAAAGGGTTTGTGAATGGAAAGCGCATCAGCCCAAGACAAAAGCATGACGAATTCCGATGCCATAGACGATCAAAAAATTATTGACGAAGATGAAGAAAGCCACAAGTTGTGTGTACGTAGAAACAATGTTAAGAATCTTGGCAAGCAGCTTGATGAATTTTACAATAGCATTGCGCCTACAAGTGCAGAGATTAAATGTAGGAGATACGTGTTGAAGTGCTTAGCAAGTGCCATAGAGTCAGGCATTCCAAACACGAAGGTCGTACCTTTTGGCAGTTTTAGCACTGAGCTTATTATCCGCTCAAGCGATATAGACATTGGAGTGTTGCTTCTTGATCCGCAGATGGAGATGGAGCCTCCAAACAATTATTTGGTGAAAATCAAGAGTATTCTATCGAATCATAAAATTGTTGAGAAGAGATCTATTTTTCACATTTGGAGCTCAAGGGTGCCAATAATCAAGTTTCGAGATAGTATTTTTGGATTTAAGGTAGATATTTCGATGAATCAATCAAAAGGCGTAAAGGCAGCTAGGTTTATGAACGATATTCTGCAAATGTATCCGCAAATGAAGATGTTTACGATTATGCTGAAGTACTTCTTGGCACAAAGAAACCTTTCAGATGCATCTACAGGAGGACTGAATAGCTACTCACAGTTTCTACTAGTCATGAATTTTTTTGTGATGAAGATGGATGAGAGTGGGAAAGTAGTTTTTGATGATATTGGTATGCTATTTCTTGAGTTTTTTGAGTTCTATGGATACAAATTTGTTAATTTGCCTCCTCAAAGCGACTCACTGCCATTATTGAGAATATTCGTCAAGTACGAGTCGATTCTTTCAATTGAGGATCCCACTGATCCAGGATGCGATGTGGCTATGGCATGCAAAAAATATGTTCAGATAAAAAGCGCGTTTAAGCGTGCATTTGTTTTCATGAGCATTGCCATCGAAAAGGAAGACCATTCAAAAGATATTTTGTCAATATGGTTCAATAAAGACAAAAAAGAGGCATACGAGCGAGAAAGGATCGACCTATTGCACTCTGAGATTTTTAGATGTAGGCAATAGGAATCGTTGCGTTGTTCATTTTATACTTAAAATAATTCTTTATGTATGTTTAATAAGAAAATAGAAATGTGAATTGTGATGGTTCAGTGGCAAACAGTTGGACTATGGCATGTAGTGCTGTCAGGGTTCTACCATTCAGAGCATTCAAGATACTTATATTCAAATGTAAAGTCACTTTTCTTCATGAATGACCATGTTACATCATAATCGAAAAACAAGAAGTCTCCTCTTTCGTAGTCTGATGTAATTAGCTTTGGCTCATCTAGGCGCTGGAACCATGTGAAGTACTTCGTATGAAACCTCCATGAATACAGTTTCAACTGGGCTGCAGCGTAGTACTGCTGAATTGTGCCCAGTTGTGAATAGAAAATAAAAAAAAGTGTGTCAGTGTCAAGCTTTTTGAACACATCCTGGCTCTCAAATATGTATAGAGGTGTTTTAGGGAAAATGTTTGGCATATTGGCAGGCTTCATAGGCATGTATCTATTTTCAAGCTCTTTGAAGTTTGGAATGTGAACAAGTGAGTTCGCTGTTTCTATTTCATAGAAACGCCTCCTTGCTGTTTTCTCATCGTCTATATTTTGTGATCGGATCCTCTCCTTGTTAATTTCCTCTATCTCGGCATCTATGCAGCTGAAGTCGAACTTCCTTGTTAGTTCATAGTTCTTAGGTGCCACATCTTTTTTCTTTGTTCCCAAAAGCATGGCTGCATTCTTCCAGACCTCCTCGGGCGTAAGGCTTTCTCTGGATGCTGGCTTGGCTATATTCTTTTCTCGTCTACTGTCATCCCTCTTACCATCGAAACTCCTTCGCATGCCTAGGGATGGCCATGTTGTTTATTAAAATTGCCATTCACTATGCATGCAGCCAAACACGCTCGAGCCATTTACATTCCATGATCATATAAGCCAAACCCAAATAATCAGATTAATACCTGAATCTTATGCCGTCCAAAACAGATAGCCATGCACAAGCCTAGATTCCGTGGAAGAATACACCAAGTTGCGTTTTACATCACATTGGCCAAGACACTTGTATACATCATATGTTCAATCGTAAAGCAAGGAAGCCCAGGGATTTTGATATACCTTATCTCCCAGATCGTTTTGTTTGGCATAAGCAGCACATACCACACCACAATATGGAAGAGCAAAAAGAACAGGCAGTTCTTCCAGAAACTCGACCACATATCAATATTCATTTTGATATCTGGCACACAAACATCGGTTGCTCTTACACTGATTCCACTCGGCAAATACACAAAGCGCATGCTAATGACAACATGGACAATCTCTCTTTCGGGCATTCTGAAGATCCTGCTGATGAATAACTTCCATACAAACATCGACACGCTTGTCTACATTCTGCACGGCATATCGGTAATTCCGTTCTTCAACATCATCGTAAAAAGCATTTCCTTATGCGATGCACTTCTTTTTATACTGGGAGGTGCCATATACATAGTTGGTGGTTGTATTTATGCAATCGAAAAGCCAAATCCATCGCCTAAGGTATTTGGATACCACGAAGTGTTTCACATAATGACTGTGCTGGCAAACTGGTGCTTCTTCGTGCCTCTACTGAAAAGATACATCACTGTATTTCTAATAAAGTAAAAGTCTTGATTAATACCGTATATGCAGAACGTAATTAGCAATTCATTTGCATAAACACAGACATTCGCACCAATAACATAATATGCAACCAAATAGTTTAATCGTGCCCACTCAACACTTACAATACTCAAGCTCATCGCTAGTTATGTAGTTGTGGATGTCTACAGCAACCTCAACGCTTTCCCTCAAAATGTCACACGGGTCCTCAATGTGCTTGACCAACGCCTCAAGCGCCACACTATTGCCTATTGCACCCAAAGCCTCTGCACACTCATGCCTGACCATTCCATGCTCATTGGCATCATTCATCTTTTCGACCAAATATGGAATCGATTCTTTGTTTCGCATTTGCCCAAACACAAATGAAATCTCATGCTTGAAAAGTGCTGAGCAATCATTCATTGCTTCTCCAAGCGCATGAACAGCATCTGCACTGCCAAGATCCCTCAGGAAAAACATCGCTTGGTATCTTCTGTACATGCACTCAGACATATCCAATAGAATTCGCCTTGCATCTTCAAAATTGCCTTCCATCGGAGGTGCCGGATCTCTCGACCCGTGCTTAGATATCTCGCCTTTTGAGCATCCTCGTTCCCGGATATTCATTCCTGCAATGTAGCATGTCTCAGAAATCGGCTTCCTGGCATGCTGCGAATATCTGTCTAGTATCTGCAGTATATCCTCCGATAACTCAAAATTGCCCAGAGCCTCTCCTGCTTCGTGCCTGACTATCTCGTCCTCGTCCTCGTCAGAAAGAACCCGCATAAGAACATCTTTTGACTCATCCATGCACATTTGTCCAAGCACATATGCTGCTTCATGCTTTAGTAGAACAGACTTGCATCCAAATCCTCCAGCAATCGCACTTACAGACTCCGGTGTCGTTTCATTTCGCAGGTAGAACAATGCTCTCATTCTCTTCGCTATGGAAATCTCATCATCTCTAATAATGTTCGCTGCTGCCACAACCTCCATCAAGGGTGCCGCTTTGCTTTTCATGATGCCTCAGGACGTTCAGTGCATACCACAGACCCCTGTATGGAAAGAAAGCTTGGACAGTTCGATCTGCTGTTTCTATCAATATGCAATATGGTTGGAATAGGCATCTTCAAAACAGCACACTACGTTCTTAGGCACACTGGGTCGTGTGTGTGGTCTGTTGCATTGATTGCTGCATCGGGTGCAATAGCAACAATGTTCGGCCTTTGCTATGCAGAACTCGGATCAACATATCCGTATCCCGGAGGCGACATCAACTACCTCAAAAGAGCATATTCAAAGTATGTGGGAACGGCATACTCAATTGCTTCAATTGCATGGATTCTTCCACTATCTTGCGCAGTTATGGCGGTTACAATCCAAGAATGCTTCAAGGAAGTTGTTGGAAAAAACATATTTATTGCTGTGATGCTTGTGATGATTTCAATGCTGCTGTCATTTGGTGGAAGGCTAGTCACATGGACAGTGCGGATCTTATTCTTCCTCAAGGTTGCCACAGTTGCCTTTCTTGTTATACTTTCTACCGTTTCATTCTTCAAGGCCCGCAAAATATCAAATCCCGCAATACTTGATCCAAGAAACGCCAAGGCAGATATGAATGCTCTTGGCGTTTTGAAGGGACTTTGCTTTACTCAATTCTCGTTTGATGGATGGAACAACGGAAACTACATTGCAAACCGAGTACGGAATCCTGGAAAAGCATTCCCAAGGGTAATTCTGGGATCTATATGGACCACAGCTGCAATTTACGCACTGACGACACTTTCAGCAATGTTTGTGGTTCCATACACCGAGATCATCAGCAATGGAATGTTCATTGAGGAGTACTTCAGGATAATGAGCATCCCAATTCCGTCGCATATGCTCTCGGTTGTTGTGACTCTGATACCAACAATAGGATCCTTGATGTGCTCTCTTATTGTAAGCTCGGGTATTATGGAGTCGCTTTTTGCAGTGAAGTTTTCAAAAAGACTCGAGGTGCTGTCGTCGCTACTATTTTCTCTGGCTGTGTTTTTGTTTTCGATGCTTGAGGACATACACGGGCTTATTAGTAGAATAGCGTTTGGAACGTCTTTTTTCTACTCGCTGTCATGCATTGGGCTTGTGGTTCTGAAGATAAGACAGCCATGCGAGGAGAGGCCATTTAATCTTCCCTTGGCCGTTCCTGTACTGGCATCTGTGCTGGGAATTGTTGTTTGCGGATGTATTGCTGTTTATTCGTGAGGATGCATTAAATAGCTTCAAGGTTGTTAAAATGATTGGCAGTGCTGAATGTATGTTTTAGAGCACATATGATGTCAGGTTTCATGTGATGAGATAAAAGCGTGTGAATGTGCATGGAGCATGGAGCATGGCTGTAGAGGTGTGCATGCATTTGATTCTGCAGATATTGGAGAAACAACACTGTCCCTGATCATGCCACTTAGAAAATCTACTCCACATGAGGCCGTGCAAGCAGTTTACAACAAAATCTTCATTGATTTGCAAAAGGCCTTTATAGACATTGGTAAGATATCGGTGTGTAGAAACATTGAAAACAGAATCACTGTGCATGCAAGGGTTGAACAGACACATAGCATATCCCGCATACTGAAGCTAGTTTCTGGATGCTTCAGGCACTGCCTTAAGATGGAGCTTCCATTGCACCTGTATGCTCTGAAGGCAGATATCTTTAAAAGGATACAAAAGATAATGGACCAATCTGGAGCAGCCATCTCGATCAAAATATGTAGAAAAGTTGAGGTTTATATATGCGGAAGAATTGAGGAATGCCTTGATGTCAGGATGGAAATATTCCAAATGATTGAGAAGATGGTTGGAAGAGTTACAGAACTCAAAAGGACTGCAATGCCTCTTCAGGCAGCTGTTGGTAAAGGACAGAGAGTGTTCTATCGTTCGAGAATAAACTCTGAAGAGTGTCTTGTTTCTTGGGAGGATACAAGCCTGGTTAGAAACAACGACTCAGTCAGCATTTATGGATTACACCAGCATTTTGAAAAGCTTGTTCTTGATGCTCAAAAGATGATGTATCTGCTGCAGTACAAAGCAATTGAGATTGAGAACATCCTTGCATACAACCAGTCGTATATGAGCACGGGCGAGAATGGAAAGCCTCATATTGATGTGGAACTGCGAGGATTCAATGCTCATGATGTAATGAAGGCAAGGAATGCAATAGACCTGCTTTATAATGAAGTAATGAAGCTGGTGGTGTCAGATGTGGATTCATTCAGCAGTGAGGAAGCAATTGTATTTGAGGTTGCTGATACAAGGCAATTTCTTGTGATTGGGGAGAAAAGGTGTCTGATGGGTATGCTTGATGAAGGATATGTGGAAGGCGAGATGGATGTTGACACGGACACCGTTGATTTTTTGTGTGGAAAGAAAAACGGAAAGATAATGAAGATCATGAGAGATGTGGACTGCAGCATCAAGATACAAAAGAAAGAGTGCGGAGCCAGGATTTGCATTGCAATCAGCGGTCGCAGCAGGAATTTTGCACGTGCTTTGGAAATGATTGAGGAAGAGTTTCCTGAAGAGCTTACGTTCCATATTGATGAGAAGCATCACAAGCGAATAATTGGATATGGAGGAAAGAACATACAAAAAATAATGAAGAAGCATGGAGTATACATTAAGTTTATGAGTGATAAGGAACGACGAAGAACTGGATATGCAGATAATGTATTGATGAAGACGCCAAGAAAAAATGCATGCAACCTTTCTGCAATGAAACAAGAAGTGATGGCGTTGATAGGAGAGCCTGATGAAGAGCCTGCAGAGTTTCGGACCAGAATATCGTTCAATGAGTTCTATGATCTTGAGTTGTCGAAGTTCAGGTTTGTTTTTGAGGGTGTTTTAGTCAATAAGATGGAGATGGGAGTGCCTTGCAGCTATTACATCGAAGACAAGCGAGTGTGCCATAAAATTGATGGAGCAGAGCATTCAAACGCAAGCCATAGAGATAAGGCTGATGAATACAATCTGCATAGACTCAGAATACAGAACACAGGTCCATGGCTTGTTAAAAGCTCTGCCGTACTTTGTTTGGAGAAGGTTACTGCAATGCATTGGATTGGAAATGTTGAATGCATGCCGGTGTTTTATTGGCTGTTTGAATGCACAAATAATGTCTTTGCAGCAGGCAATAGAAGTGATACAAAAGAGCAATATGCGTGTGAAAACGATAAAAGATTGTTTGTTTGATAGGCTGGGCCAGGGAAGATATTAAGATATGATCAGCAGATTGTGAAACCATGCATTCGTTTTGGGATGAGTCATGAATGTGAAACACCTAATAAATCTGGATGCGCATTTATCGGAAACATGGACACTCTGCTTAAGGAGAAGATAGATGGTATTCTGCAGATGGGAGAAGGAGTCAAAGCGCTTTTGTTTGACGAGGAAACAAAGGGAATGATGAGCAATATAATACCTCATTCCAGGTTTCTTGAAAATGACTACTTTTTGTTTGACAGCATAATGAACAGGAAAAGAGAAAGGATTCAGGGAATAACATGCATGGCAGTGATACGCCCAGAAAGCATCAAATGGCTTGTTGAGGAGGTTTCTGACCCATACTATGAACGGTATATAGTGCTGTTTACGAATCAAATCGACTCTTTGATGCTTGAAGTGCTGGCTACAAGCGACATCCACTGTGTTGTTAGTGAGGTACATGAGATATACATCGACTTTTTCCGGCAGGACGAGTTTCTGTACACGCTGTTTAGGCGCGGGTCGGAATCATATGAGGGCAGACAGTGCAGAAGAAGAGCTGTTGATGGACTGTTTGCATTTGTAATGAATATGAAGAAAATTCCAACAGTGTTGGTGCAGAATGGATGCAGAGGCCTTTTTGAGGATGCAGAGCAGCTCACTGAAAAGCTGTCTGGATATAACTACGAGCATGGAGGAACAGTGATTATACTAGACCGAGGATTCGATATGTACACTCCGCTAGTGTATGAGTGGAGATACCAGTCGTTGCTGCATGACCATGTGAAGTATGAAGATGGGGTCGCGAAGGTTGGAAAGAAGGCATACCTGGTGGCCGAGGATGACTTTTTCAACGAGTGCAAGTTTAAGGACATAAACGAGGTGTCTGAGATGATAAAGGGGCTTGTTAAGAGGGCGGAGGTCAAGAAGCGAAGGCTCCAGAGTCTGATATTTGATGATCTTGAAGAAAATACAAGGATATCACGGCAGATAGAAGCACATCTTGCATTGCATGCATACATATTGAAAGCAAGCCTGAGATTGAAAGAGCCTAGCGAGATGGAGATGGATATTCTGAGGGGAAAAGCCATAGATAAGAATGAAATAGCCAACTATCTTTTGAGAACAGATGTTTCTAGTGTTGAAAGAAGCAAGCTTCTTGCCATTTATGCACTCAAGAATGGAAAGGACTTGCAGAAAGAGGCAAAGAATTATCCGGATCTTGTAGATGGAATAGAATGCTTTTTGAAGAAATACCCGCCAAGCATGCAAGCATTTATGCCATATAGCTACCGTTTCGACGATGATGTTGATGCGAAGCTTGGATACCAGCCTGCTGTTAAAAGACTTGTTCGCCATTGGTGGGCAGACAGGCTTAATGATAGATATCTTTCTGTTGTAAGGAGTACAGAAAATCCAAAGGACTTTATCGTAGTGTACGTCCGGAACGGAGTCACATATTCTGAGTACAGAGCACTATACGAATTCTACAAATCCAAGGTCTCAGACCATTCAAAAGTATATGTTATTGGAGACTTTATGGTATCTTACAAAGACATGTTTATTTAATCGAATCAGCATACAATGTTCATTGCATGATCAATGCTTTGCAATACTAAAGCAGATCTAATTTATTATATCGTCTGGCTCGTCTTGCAGGAATGATCTGTACATGAGCAGAGAGGCCAAAATCATTATTAATCCAATAAAAATCATTCCAACAGATACAAAATAGTTCTTTGTGCCAATAGCTGACGATTGTGCAATCGTAAGGTATTTTTTTCCATATGGAAAGCTGGATGTGATTCTCAATGTGTAATCTCCGTCCTCGTTGAGATATGCAGTGCCCCAGAGCTTCCTAAAACTCGGAAATGGAGATATGTAAATCCAGTTTACAAATCTCTCGTTGAGATGAAGATCAGGGATCTCTTTGTATTCTGGCCATGCTGGTGGTGCAGCAACCTCGTCGCGCGTATATCCCGACTGCTTTATCGAGTCTTTCTCGGATTTCCATGAAATTTCCTCGGTTTCTACCTCTGCCCCCACTATCTCAAAGCTGTCCTGTGGAAAGCTGTTTGGAAGAATCCCTGCCGGGTAGATCACCCTTTCTCCTTCGTAAGACAAAGGCTCGGTTGCCTTGAGATTCTTTGGTCGCTCTCCCTTGAGCTGGTCATGGCTTATACTTTTGCTATATCTTAGATTTGTTTGGTAAAAATCATGTACTTCTAGGAAGAGATAGACCTTGCCGCTCGGCAGGTATGCTTTGATATCCATGTCTTGTGCATAAGGTATGCTCACTTCAAATAAGTTGCTGTATACAATCGTCGATATGCTTCCAAATACAATGTTCAGTGCTCCAACAAACAAAAACAGAAGTATGTGCTTGCCTTTTGATGTTGGCTTGTAAAATCCATGAAGTTTCTGGGTCAAGAAGTGTCTTTTTATTGCGGAGATATACTCTTGAAAGCTCATTCAGGTTTCGATTGCTATTGTTTGGGGTGCTGATAAGTCGACGGCATGCTCAATCGCATTAAATACAATCAAATTGCAAACAAATAACGTGTCTGGCGAATCAATTAAAAGCTTGAATGCTCGTATGCATATCCTAATCGCAGCCTCGTGCATTCACTTTGCTGCTGCATATGCATTTCACATTCTTGAACGCAATTCATTGCATTGAAAAAATTGCCCTTGATAATGGTAGGTGATGAAGAAGCATTGTAATTTCTAGACTGTTAAGAGAAGAAACCATGGACGATCGAAGAAGAACCGGGGAAGAGTAAGCACGATTCATTGCGACAAGTGTGGACGAATCACGCCCAAGGACAAGGCAGTCAAGAGATTCAGGATCCAGTCATTGATTGAGCAGGCATCATTTGACGACTTAAAACTTGCCACAATATACGATGTGTTTGAGGTCCCGAGAATCGGATACAAGTCACAGTTCTGTATTTCTTGTGCTTGCCATGCCAAGATAGTCAGGGTCAGATCAACTAAGGGAAGAAAGATTAGGTACGGGTTCAATCCAAACAGGGCTGCGAGTCTTGCTCAGAATTAAAAGGAAGCTTTAACTTGAATCTTTCAGTCAATTTCTACCCAATTATTTGAAAAGCATATGCTTACTCAACGGTAAATTTATACCTCATTACTTTATTACTCGTATGACTCCAAGCGCAATTGTTTTGCTTTCCAATCTTAATGCAAACCTCTGTCTTCTTTCGTCATCCTCCTTATTGCAATTAAAGATACATATTGGTGACTCAAGAGCTATCTTTGCAAGGACCTTATCTCCATGCTTGCAAAATCTAATCCTGCTGTTCTTCATGTCCCGTATTTCCTTGACTTTGCATGGCATAGCCACTACTCCTATATGGATAATGCAGTTGTATCCAGAACTAATAACCGCTTCTCCATCAATCAGGTTTAGTCCACATGTAAACTCTTGAGATACTTTGTAATCGCTGTTACTAGGATCAACTATCTTGCCTCCAACCGACAAATCATCGGTATCGTCCCTCAGCTTGAGCCGAACGATATCCCCAGACAATCCCTCATTAATCTCCACATCCTCATCGTCTAGGATGCACATTACATGATTCATTGCATTCTGTGGAAGAACCTTAACCGCCATGTTCGGAGCAACCCTTCCACACTCTATCTTTCCATGCACGTATACCGAGCCCATCAGCTTTATCTTCTGTGTTATTGTAATTGCAAGAGGCGCATCATCTTTCCTAGGAATGCTTATCTTCTCAAGCTCGCAAATAAAAGACTCGCCTTCATACCATGGGCATCGGCCCTTGTCCTTGATATACTCCCCTGTGAATCCGCTCACGGGAATAAATACTGGCACTGCAAACATCTTTTTTACAAATCCGCTAACTTTTTCCCTTATTTCATCAAATCGTTGCTTGCTCCAATCAACACTCGGGTCATCCATCTTATTGACAAGCACAATCAATCTTTGCACACTCCCTGCCTTCAGGAGCAGTATGTGCTCTCTTGTCTGCCCTCCCTTCTCAAAGCCTGCTTCAAACTCATTTATGCGTGCGGACACAACAAGGATCCCAACATCTGCACGGTTTGCTGCATTTATCATTTCAAAAACAAACTGCTTGTGTCCTGGCGCATCCAGGATGTTTATTCTTCGCTTGGGAAGCTCAAAAGTTGCGGTTCCCACCTCTGTGGTCTTTCCGCGCTCCCTCTCTTCCGGATTTGTGTCCAGGCACCAGCTCAAATACCAACTCTCTCTGTTCTGATCCTTTGCCATTTCTCTGTACTTTTCAAGCGTTCTGTGGTCGATCAGCCCCATGTTTACAAGAATCTGCCCACAAATGGTTGATTTCCCTGCATCAACATGCCCTACAAACACAATATTGATCACCTCCTTCTTGCTTATACGCAACTTTTCAAAATCCATCCTATTGGGATGCCATGCATTGCCTCATTTAAATCGCCATGTGAAAATTTTGGGCACTACCCTAATGATATCTGAGTTCTTTACACGTAACCTGCATCGAACAGTTGATTTTCTGTCAAAGGTTGGGCTTGTGTCGGAAGAAATTGATGTGAAGCTTGAGCCAAAAGAGTACCTGTCCTTGACATACCAAAACATTAAAGAGTATCGCAAGGCATACACGTTTCTGCTGTGTAGGGCCAGCAAGCGTCATTTAGAAGAAGTTGTGTTCTGTGAATGCTGCTCCCGCCGCATAAATTTCATAAGAAACATAAATCTGGCCATCCACCTGAACAAGAAGGTGAATGTGCACTGGATTGGTGCAGAAAGGGATGAATTTCTGCTATACATAGAAGGGAAAGTAAAAAAGGATGTTGATGTGTTGGTGCAGGCAGTTTCGATTAATCCTTGGTTTTGGGATGCATATTTGGAACTTGCTGAGCTGATCACACCAGATATTGTTGACTCTGTAAACATATCTGAGGGATTGAGTGACTTTTTCTTTATGCATCTATTCTGTACGAAGATGATCAAGAAGACAGCACGGCCAATTGCTGGGGAGGGCCGTGGATGCAAAAGAAATCAGGCAAGTCTTGGGAGAATATGCGTCAATGTCAACATGAAGCATCCAAACTTGGCAGGCGCCGTTCTCTATCATCAAAAGGACTTTTCGGGATGCATTGAAGTTTTTGAAGAGATAACAAAAAACACACTATATTATGATCTGGATTATGTTGATCTGTATTCGAATGCATTATACATCAAGAATGACGTTAAGGTGATTGCTCTTGCAGAAAGTGCACTTAAGATAAACAAGTATCGATCTGAAACCATGTGTTGCATAGCAAACTACTATTCGATGAAAAGCAATCACGAAAAGGCAATTGAATATTTCCGGCTTGGCGTGCGCCTCAATCCATGCTCTTCGATTTTGCACACTCTTATTGGGCATGAGTATTTGGAGATGAAAAAGATGGAGTGTGCAATAAGCTCGTACAACACAGCACTTAGGCTATGCTCCACCGATTACCGCGCATGGTATAGTGCAGGGCAGGCATATATAACAATGAATATGCATGAGTATGCTCTTTTTTTCATCAAGAAGGCGCTGGAGTGCAAGAGCACAGATCCAATTGTGTGGACTGCATTAGGGCAGTGCTATGCGAGCTTGAAAAGGGCAGAGGAGGCCATTGCAGCCTTTAAGAATGTGATAGAGCTTGAAGATGCCGATGGATATTTGTACATTGGAGATGTATACAAGAACGAGAAGAAGTATATGGAGGCAGTTGTGTATTACGAAAAGTATGTGGAGTATAGTAAAGACGACACAAGAAAAATATGTGTATTTCTTGAAGAGTATTTCAGAAGGATGCATGATGGTAAACGATGCTCATACTATCAAAGACTTGCAAATAGATAATGGAAAGCAAATAAATGCAATTGTGTGCGATTAGCAATTGATGAGCTATTGCTTTTATAGTTTAGAGTATCCCTACTCAGATGGAAAAGAGAGAAGAAATGAACAAAAAACTCGAAGAGAAGCTCAAGAAGTATGAAGACAGCATTATGCATGTGATATCATATAACAAAAAGCTGAAAGAAGCATTGGAAAACATTAAAGCAGAAGAAAGATTGACTTTCGAGTGGCTTTCTATGCTCTCAAATTCCCACCAGAAAGACTGAAGCTAAAAGCAACGATTGAGTGTATTATTTCTTCCCCCTTACAGCCATCATGCATACAGCAAGCTCAGGTAAAGCATAAGTAAATAAATTGATTGGTTTATTTTATCAGAACCTTTTTAGTGGAAATTTGAAGAAGACAGAGAGCGCCATTGCAACAAGAAACACACACACAAGAACAGCAGGCCCGTATATATCGTCGTATGGCCCAGGGTCTCTTTTCCTTATCATGTTTGCCCTCCACAAATATAAGTATAGAGAATAAAACGAGAATATTATCGCAACGACTATCAGGATCAATCCAAACACACTGGCATTCTCATCTCCAAGCCCAAGCAGAGCACTGCCTATTCCTCCGAGAAAGATCGCAAATTGAACCCAAGATAAAAAGGTTCTCTCATTTGCAAAGAATACCTTTGGCTCCACACGAACAGGAATCGATATTCTCTTACCATGCACATCTATTGGGCTCAGCCTGTCACTGTTGCTTGGATCGCTTTCTGCAGGAATGTCTACAAGAACGGCATTTTCAAAAGACTTCCTGGTGCCATCCGGATGGAACGGATCTTTTCTGATATCAACATTAACCTGCGGTAACCAATACGGAATGTCTTGGATAAATGGATAGAGAACGGCACATCCATGCAGATACTTCGAGAATTTGTGAACATGCTCAACCAACGGGCCATTTATGAGTTCCTCAATCCAATCTGGCTTTGTATCATCGAAGTTTTGTGTTTTTACCTCCAGTATTGCATGGGGAAAACGAACAATCTCATCCCTGGGAACTCCTCGGAATGGAAATTCGCAGTTCACGTCGCTTCTCTTCCATCTCCTTATAGGAAATGAAGGATCTGCAATATCAGCATCAATGCACTCCTTTATCATGCAGAGATCGCTATCCAGGCTTATCCTAACACTTGAGTCCGTTGGAAGCTGAAATGCATTTCTCCTATAAAACGTCCTAACCACAGGCCTAAGCTTCTTCTTAACAATCGAGGATTGGATCTCCTCATAAAGTGCCCTTACATCCTCACCCTCGTTCAGTTTCTGCACATTCTCCCATACGTCTTTGCCATTGATAAAATCAAGCACATGCCCCTCACTAATCATGAACCTCAACTTCTTGCTGGTCTCTCCTGTCCATCCATCCTCATGCTTCTTCCTTTCTATAAACACAACTTCAGGATCCCTGGATGTGTACCATCGTATTCTAATCGCTTCTGAATGATGAAGCTTCTGTAGCCTTTCCTGATACAGATCAAATGTTGTGTTATCAAAGTATACAGATGACACACATGCATCATGTGTCTCCTTGTTCCATAAGCTGTATGGGCTGCCTTCGTTCTTTCCATCGAATACATAAATAGGAAGATGCTGTGTAATGTAGAACTTCAATGGAACTACATTTTCCTTGTGAACCCAATACTTGTCTGTTCTTCGGATAAATGCACTGCCGCTTTCATTCTTCTTTATCTTTAACTCTTTATTCTTCAGCGAAATTTTGCTTACCTTGTATATCAGTGCATCGAGATCCTTAACAGAAGTACGCTTCCCACGCAGAAATGCTCTGTATGATGCAAACATCTTTTTGTCCGTGCACTTGTCGTGCCTTCTAAGCAACCTCTTAAATCCTATTGTGTTTATCCTTATGAACTCGGCAAACCGGTGCATCTCTTCGGTTATTTCCTTTGTTCCTCTTCTCGAAGCATCGCCGGCCTTCTTCTCAAGTACTTGTAGCTTTCTAGAAAGCTCTAAATGCTTCGAGTCAACAAATCCAAACACCCTTCGGATGTTCGCCTCAAACTCATCCTCAAACTCCCTTCCGTCTTCTGCAGCAAACACTTCTCTTCGTAATATGCTCCTTAGGTACTCATAGTCAAGATAGTTGTATCTGTAGGGCATATGCATATTCCTCTTCAGATACTTTAGAAACCGCATCCTAAACTCACATGCTTGTCAATATATACATCTTCTGCTTCTTGTTTCATCATACACAAACAATCCTATACATACAAAACACCGTTTCAAATGCATTTCACACTCAGTAACCTCATAATCAATGCTTATCTCAGCACTAATCTCATACCCAACCATCAATTAGCCTATAATCCTCAGAATATGCTTTAAGTACACACATCATCCATCATAGCCGTTCACTATCTTTTTGCCTATGCTGATTGCATTCAGGATCAATTCCTTGACTTCATTGAATTCAAGAATCGTTATGTTGTTCAAGTTCAATGCACTCCCATCTAAACACTTAATTCCTTGTAATGTCTTTCCAAGCCTTATCTCCTTGATCTTCTCAACCATTGCTTTGCTTGCCTCCACATCCTCAGTGTTGTAGCAGTTTTTTAGAAGCACATGCGCCAGTGAAAAAAAATGTGCTGGCACATACGAATACTCATTGATCGTCTCTTTCTCCTCCGCAAGTATCTGTTGCAAACTTTCCATCTGCAAGTACATCGGGAGCCTGATCCTGCACATATTCTGCTTCTTCAGCAGCAAAGCAACATAAAACGGATACTTTGCTATCTCCAAGGGCGAGCACTCCGGATATCTTCGCTCTACAAGATCAAGCGACGGAATCGTTGTTGTTGGCTCAACCTCGACCATCTCTCCATGCGCCATATGCATTATCTCCTCGGGCGACAATCCCATAAGGATTCCATTCGTATCAAAATATCTCCTCCAGTTTAACAATTTATTCAATACACTCAAACCATCTACTACCTACTCTGCTTATCTTTTTATAACTCTTGCCTCAATCTAAAGCTTTGCATGCTGCATGCTGCACACTCGCCAAAAGCCTTGAGCTTGCAGCACACTTCAACTATTTCTTCAGATTTATTCTTTGCTTTCATACAGTACAATATATATTCTTCCATTCATTGTCTTCATATAAAACAATGTTCCATCCCATTTCATAATCCTTTTAATCACATTCATCCCATCAAATATATTCAGCATCCCAATAACCTTATCTGCTGCAATCGCTCTTTTGCTCTCAGATTTAAACAACAGTAGGATCCTCTTACTAATCATCCTGTTATCCTCCTCTTCCTTCGATTTGCTCATAAACTCCTCTCTCCTCAATCTTTCCTTTTCTTTTATCCTCTCAAGTATCGTTAATGCTCTGCTTTTCCCCTTCTCTTTAATCTCACTGCTCTGCTTCACTGGAACATACTCCATCTCTCGATTGCTCACTGCTTCCTTTCCTATTGGACTTTCCATATCATCCTCAAATATCTTCATTCTCTCAACATCTCGTTCCTCAATATCATACTCAGGATGATATCTACTCCCGCTCCACAGATACCCTCTGCTCTCAATAAATCTCGCATGCATCCGCTTCGCATATTCAATCAGGCACTCATCAAACCTTCCACTTCCTCCACTCAGATAAATAACAAACGTGTCAACCTCCTTCCCTTCATGATGCACACTTATCTTCTTGAACTTAAATAGCTCGGGTGCAACAAAGTACATCCTTTCAACATCATCAAGCCCTACATTCTGCTTCACAAGCTTCTCAATACACCTCTGCGATTTAATAAATATCGTTGTAAGCCCCCTGTCTGCATTGAACCTTTCAATAGTCTCTAAAACACGGAATATCCTCGATAACTTCCTAAGGCTTCTTGGCAGATAAAGGTGCTCACTCTGATTCACCCCAGAAACACCCTGTAGCCTTGTTTCTCCAAATTGCCTAATACGCTCTTTCCTCTCCTCCACACTGCCCACTTCCTCATTCCCCGTTACATTCTTAGCAACTCTGCTTGCTTCGTCAGCTTCCACACGAATGTTCTCTCCTCCCATCAGCCTCTCCATCCATCTTCCAACCAGCCTATCATTTGCATTCTTATCCACCTTGCACGGCCCTCTCATCTTCTCAGTGCATCTCTCTCTTATTCCGTTCCCTTCCATCCTCGCAGCCTCCTAACCCCGTAAAAATTTATACAACTAAATTACTTAAAAATGTCCCAAGAAACAGGTGTCTGTATCCCATACAGATACAGATGTTTTCGTCTCGGTATTCATATAAAAGCCATTAAAGGACCTCAGAATCAACCAAATCCCTTCTTCTGCTTTCAAGGGCATCAAAAACACTTCTTTTTATACTTTTAATCATCATCACTTTCCTATCCTAATGCTTACGGGAAGAACATTCATATACTCCTCCGTAGAAATCGCCTTCACAAACATTTCTTCCTTGCTTTCTCCTGCATCCCTTGCAAACCTTTTCATTATCTCTTGCACAAGCTTGCCTTTCTTTTCTCCTCCAGGCACAAGCTTCAACTTATACTTGTACTTCGAAATCACACACCAAGGCCCACAAACAGGAATCGCATGCATTATCTCCAGATCTCCAGGATCATTCATAAACTTATACCTTTCTTCTCCTCCTTCAGCATCGCCAACCTTCATTTCACTTACCTGCTCCTCAATATCCTCAAAAGCCCGGAATACTATCCCCACTCCATACTCCAGCCTGTGCCACTCAACATAGTTTTTCTTTCCCTTTATTGCAAACGATCCTTTGGGCAAGTACTCTCCAGATGGTGGTGTCTTGCTGACCTGATTTCCATACACATACCATATCTGCGACACTACTCCGTTCGTCCAACAGCTCGACATGCACAGCGTCATTGCAGCTGCTTCCCTGATCGTGGCCTCGCTCTCCTTCTTTACAATAACACTTGAGCATCCATGTACATCACTATGGAAGTACAAATCATCATCGCAAAGATACTTCTTCACAAGAATCTCGTTCTGCTGAGAGTTCTTCCCTCCTATCACAACAGCTCCCTCAGATGAGAAGAAAAAATGAAACTTCTCAAACCAATATGTCTGCCTTGCTATCCTCTTTGTCTCCGTCTTCGGCGCTATCTTCTTCAGCACATCCTCAAGATTGCTTCTTGTCTTCTCAATCTTCTCATTCAGCTTCTTTGCCTTTTTAAATAGCTCATTAACATTGCAAAACAAAGACTCATTGAAGTCAACATCAACTTCCTTACCATCCACACTTATTAAACACCTATGGGACTTAAAATCACATTGAAGTATCGCCTTCGACACCTCGTTCTGCTTCTTGTTTTCCTTCTCTCGAAACCTATCAAAATCATTCCACTTCATCTTCGACTCCCTCACTACCCGGAAAATGTCCAGAATTCTTTGCACAAGGCCCTCGTTCGACTCAAGAGCATGAGCTTTCGCTACATACTCCTCAGATTCCTTTTTCATCTCCTCCATATATGCTTCTTGCCTTGCTCGTACTTTGTCTACCTTCGACACCTTGTCTCCCTTTCCGAACTTCTTCCTGTCCATGAAAAAAAACTCCGCCGCATCATTGAACGTTCCAAACTCTCTCGCCCCCTCTACCTTAAACGGAAACAAACTCAGCAGCTTTCCCTTCGCCATCACCACTCCTCCATATCCACCAATCTCCTCAATCCTCTTCTTAAACTCGTTCATGTATTCCTCAAACGCATCTCTGCTTTCTTTCTTAATCGGCACACCATTCATCATCGATTTTCTCATTCCCATCACGTCAGTGCCCAGCTTGCTGCTCAGCCCTCCCAGCACCTCCTTCACCAACGGCTCTTCAACAGGTAGAAAGTCGCTTATCTCGTTTGCAACAAACATTTCAATTCCAAAATCAAATTCTACATTATTGAACACATACTCAGACCCCTTAACAACATCCAGGTCCTTCACCATCCTAAACACTTCCACTATCTTGTTATCCTGAACTATCAGCACGTTCCCCCCAGAAAAAAACTCAAACACAATCTTCTGCTTGCTCAGCTCAAAGATCACAATCCTATCAAATCCGCACTGATAGATATCAACAACCTTTTCTCTACGCGCTCTCTTGCGCAGAATCTTACAAAAGTGTGAAATGTCCATGTCGTGCCCCTCTGTAAGATGCATCCTTACTCCTGGCTCGGCTAGAAGAACATCCTTGTTGCTAAACTTTATGTATATGATCCTCTGTGATGTACTGTAGAAGTTCTGTATGTACTTGCCAATCAGCCTTGGCTTCAGCTCATTCACCGTCGCACGGATGTCAAGAAATGTGTATCTTTGCTTCATAGGGATGCCGTCCAATTATAATTTGACTGTTCTCCTTTCTCTCCTATTTGCTGTACCCACAGCATGCATTGGATACTCAGCAATGCTCAATCGCAAATGCAATAAATAGCTTGCAGCGATCATTCTTCATGGACAAGGATGCACAACAGAATTCGGGTGAGTGGAGAGAAGAAGCTGCACTGCTGCTGTCTTCCCAGCTAATGCTCGAGTACAATGCATTCTACTTTTACTCTGCATGCGCTGCCCATTTTGACGATCCTTCAGTCTGCTTGCAAGGACTTGCTTCCTTTTTCAAAAAGTCCCTTCTTGAAGAAAATGAGCATGCACAAAAGATAATCAGGTTCATGAACATGAGGCAGCTAAAGATCAGCTTCCGTGCAATGGAGGCTCCTGACATAAAGAAGTATGGCACCGCAAGCAATGTGCTCAAGGCATCCAAGGAATTTGAAGAAAGCGTCCTTGATAACATAGAGACAATATACAGCATAGCCTCGAAAATCGGTGATGCAGCAATCACACAATTCCTCGATGAGTTCGTTGCAGAACAAGTAAAATCGATCTCAGAGCTCAATGACATGTGGGTCAATTGCATCAGGTGTGGAGATGATGGAATGGGTCTCTTTGTCTTTGACCAGTCTTTACTGCAAAAGCATTAAATTCTGTTCGTAAAGTCTTGTACAACTTCTCTATGTGCTCTATCCCATGCATGGACGACTTGCTTTCTCAGATAAGAGGTACACAGGTGGAGAGTGCAGACGAAAGTGATGATTCGAGCTTGAATCATGAAGAAGTAGGAAATGCCGTTTGCAATCCATTCCAAGAGCACGCAAACACGATTTGCGAAGAAGACTGCGAATCCAAAGATATTCCGTGCCCTATAGGCAATGTGCATACAAGTACAGGCGACGAGCATGACCTTACCTCTTCACAAACGCATTCAGCACTGCAAATCATCAAACTTGACTTTGAATTGCTGGAACAGCTGAAAATCGAACACAACATATCCACGGACATCCGTAGCATAAAGAATAGCAAAGCCTACAAGGTTGAGTGCGAGTTTGCAGGCATTATCAAGAAACTGGATAGATTCGGAAAGGATGTCGTCTCTATTGAAATAACAGATCAGGATGGATCTATATCTGGATCTTGCACGCTTGCAGACTCCAAAGAGTTTGAGCTCAAGGTCGGGAGCATCCTAGTACTTGAAAAATGTTCGCTGTGGAAAGTAAATGGAAATCACCTGAACATAACATCGTTAAACATAAAAAAAGTCATTTGATGGAAGGCCACAGTGCAGCAGTATGATAAATGTAAGGCAGAATCAATAAAGCATGTAATAATAGCCTAATGCTGCATAATAGTACGGATGAGTTTAACACATCATAAAGCGAATTGGTGTTTATTATTAGTATCACCCATGCGCCAATTGTCTACTCAAATCGCCAATCAATACATCTACTCCTCAGAGGTATAGCTCTCAAGAACCTTAAATATCTTTGCTGTTGCATTATTGACGTTTTGGTAGTCAAATGTAATGATCAACTTGAGGATTCCACAGAATTGTGTAAGCAGCATTCCTCTTTTGCGCCCTATTTCGTCAGAGTCAACACTAACACTGATGAAGATTAACGACGTCTGCGAATCGTCACTGATGGACCGCATGAATATATACTTCTTCCCATCGTACTCAATATCCTTTGGCCAGGTCTTTTCGTTGTGAGTTTCTACATAGGCAAGGCTCAACGAGCATCTTCCTGTTGTCTCATACAACAGATTGACGTCTTCAAAGTTGGTGAGCTGTATGGAAAGAGCGCACTCTCCAATATCCTCAACCAGACTCTTAAATATATCTAAGTATTCGGCATTCCCATCATTACCCTGAGAACTCATCTAAATATTTGGGGCGTCGACAGAATTCGTTCATTTTGTTTACACCCTGATGAAATGCATTCTTTTTGTGGTTGCTTCAGTGATGGCTGCGTTTTCTCATGATGACCTAGGCAGTGTGATCATCTCGATCCGAAAGCTGCACGACAGCACACCGTACAGTACGTTTTATGAGGTTTTAGGAGTGTCTGAGGCATCAGATTTCAACACGATTAAGAAGCAATACCAAAAAATAATGAGAAGTAAGGTTCCTTTGCCTGAAATCAACAAAAGAGAGGATGCCATTGCCATTGTGACCGAGGCATATAACATCCTTAAGAACAAGAAAGATGCATACGATCTAATTCTTTCAAACTCATACATGTATCTCGGAAACAAGAAAAACTTCAATAATAGCTTTTATTTACTTCTGCTATCTGGAATAGCATCGTCTATTACCATAGTCATAGCTGTCTTTGCATTCAAACGCCTTATGTCCATGCAAACACCCAGTAAGCATAGGAACAGCGGTAGCAAGGATAGTATTTTGAAAAAAGCATCTTTGACAAATGTACATGCGCCTAGCTCATCAAAGTCTTCGATTAAATCCAAGATATGATATCTCATTCCTTTCACTAACACAGGAGATTCAAATGAAGAATATTATTGATTATTCGTAGGATTGCATTACTTCTGATGCAAGTATTGCATCATTACAAGCACCACATGCGTATGCAGGCTCATTTTCTTCTCATTTCCAAAAACCCGCAGTTCGAGCTGTACATTCTCAAATCCTTCCGGTATCAATGCAATAAATCTTTTGTAAACCATATTATGCTCAACAGCATCGTCTTGATGGAGTTCTGAAAGATTCATTCCAAGCAACTGATTAATTGCATTCCCTGCCGGAAAGTAGGTTTTCTCTGCTAGCTTTGCAGATATGATTATCATCTTAAGATCATACAGCATCTCCTCGAGAAAATATAACTTTTCTTTTGCATTCTTGTATGGCAGATCATCAGCCAGGCCTTTAAATATTAGGCATCTTACAAACCTCCAGACATAGCGAAAGTAATCAAACATCCAGAACGAAGGCTCTGCCCTGCCAGCCTCTTGAAAGCCCCGGTATCTACCAAGGTTCTCTTCGAATATTCTCTTCCTTGCATTAAGTACCGCATAATCAAACAAAATCATCACAGTATACAGCAAGATGCACACAGTTATGGCAAAAAAAAGCGCATGCTTAATCTCGTTTATCTTTCTTACATCCATGCCCTTTCTTGTGCAGATGCTCAAAACCTTGAACAAATCCATCCTATTATGGAAGTTATCAGCTTCGCTCATTGCCCTTCTTCATTATAATGCCCTGCAATTCCACTCTGCCCCATGTGCACACTCTTGTCATCCTCACGCTCATATGAAAAAGGAACATTCTGATCTTTCAACCTCAGCAATGCCTTTCCGGTTATATCAATTCTTTCAAGTGCTCTACCACTGCATGGCATATATTTGCTGGTTGAAGGGCCGCCATGTGCTAAATCTTGATGGCAAAACAAATTCTTGTCAAAGTCCCTCCACTCTCCAGACAATGCATATTGTACCTCAAAGGGAGTAACTACAGGAACGTGGATCTCTGGCCCACAATACTCGAAGAATGGACAGTCAACAAGCACAATACACTCCACTCCATCTACAGATATCAGTCGTTCATATGAAACATCTCGAAGAAAAAGAAGGTACGCATTCTTTCCTCTTGAGGCCAATGCACTTCGTATGTCTCTCGCCAAGTCATGATAAACACTTGATGTAAACACAATTGCAATTATGCCAAAGCTCAGTATTCGTTCTCCTTTATTGCACTTTGATGACAAATACTGCATTCTGTCTTTTACCTCTAGCCCATGAAATGACTCTGCCCCATATCTATATGAATAGTAGTCAAAAAACATCTGATTGTTTGAGATTACCAGCATGCCATCCTTTCCATCTGTATTTATGCATTTAGTATATCTCGAGTCATAGACCTTTTTTCGCTTGTCCTTCTCAATCATATGCATTTCCTCAGCAGAGAGCGACTGAGACACACTTATAAAGTCACTGAACGGGTGGAATGTGCAGCATACGCCCAAAAGAACAAACATCTCAAACGCCTCTATCTTTAAAGGGCACAGTATTCCATCTCCATTCAATAGAAACACCGTTACATATGGATGATTCTGCCGAATATAGTCATACACCGGCTTGACCATTTCCTTATACTCTTCAGTGGACAAAAGTCCTACTTCAAGGCCGTGCCTATCCTTAAGCTTTGCATCAAGGCATTCAAAGTCCATTAAAGGGATGCATTCACGCCATAATATGATGCTGGGCACAGCTTTTGAATTACGGCCACTCCTTCCCTTTACCGAGTGCATGCTTTCTATGCTTCAGTGCTTCTCTGTTGGCAATCGACACTCCCACAAATACACCAGCATACAGCAAGTTGAAAAAAAGCTGCATGCTTCTTATTTCCATCCATAGATGCATATGTATCATCAACTCAAGCACATAATGCGAATAAATATACTGCTTTCTGATGAAAACACAGTAATGAGCTGCAAAGTGTGCGATATTCAGCAGCATAAACACTTTTGTGTGCACTATTGCCTTCCCATGCATATGTAAGCACATACATGTGTAGTAGGCCATTCCATGAACAAAATGTATAGGTCTCATTCTGCTCTTAGGCGAATACTTGAACACTACAGTCTCAAATAGTCGTCTGTATAGATGAACTCTGTACATGTTCTGAATAGGTAAGATAGCAGACAACATCACACCATATAGATAGAAGTACTTGAAGTAATTCTTTGACATCCCGCCTGCTATGTATCCATGCCTTGTAGTTTCATTTGCAATTGCATAAAGAAGCAGCGTGCCAAATGGCAACGCTATGAAGTACGCATTAACCACAAAGCAGACCATTGTGTGGATCAAACTGTTGCTATGCATCCCCAGACAAATTGCTATGCATATGTATTCATTGTATACAATTGCATTTAATTTATGTGTACCTTGATCAACCAACCGTTGCATTTCGATGAAAGCTTTTCACCTGGCATTCAGCAAGAAAAACAGCCAGGTATCTATTCTATGGTAAATCTCGTTGTATACTTTCTTTATGTAGTATCCCGATACAGCAAAGAACAAGATCCTGTCAATTACAAAGCTAAACTGGCTCAGCCTCCAAAACGTAAACATATAGTTGAATATCGACAGAAAGCTCGTTCGCGATGCTATCTGGTAGACAACAACAACGACAAAAATATACATCAGTGTTCTTTCACCGGCAAGATCGTGCACAGTCGGCTGCCTTTGGGAAAACGCATCTTCAAGATTCTTTCTAACTTGATTGCCGAGCCCATGCCTATCCATGTAGAATAACTCGCGTATCGTTATAATCGCTGTGTTCATAAACGACCTTAGCACAACAGTGGATATAAAATACGAAGCAATAAACAAACTCAGAGCAATAAAAAACACAGCTGATGCACGAGGCATCACTTCGCCATCCATTCTATACAACGAGCAGCATTGCTCGCATGTCCTTATATTTTTTACTCTCTTCCCACGATATCTCCACATCTTCAGGCACATTTCATGAACAAGCCCTATGCTGCCCCTACAGTCGCATGGTGATATCAGGTCGTCCTTCATATTGACTGGATTAGTCAATGAATAGCAGATCTTGCAGACCATATCTCCTTCGGTGCCCTCTTCTAATGCAGCGGCTGCTCTATTTGTAGCACCAGATTGATTCTTTGTCTCACATTGATCTGCATCTGTACTCAGCATGCCAAATTCCTCTGCTATGCCTTTATTTTCCTATCTGCCAATCTTCTTCTTTATTGTGTGTGGACAAATAGTATATCTGCCTGCATTCTTATAAAACACATGGGACATCGGTGCAAACCTATCAAACTTTACATAAAAATGTGCTTCCATTGTGGCACAGTGAACAAAAAAGCACATGTTTCCTTAGGAAGTCTTGTGTATCTCCGAATGGCGGAGCATAGAAATCATTCCTGCTCCGTAGCTTCAGAGAAGGGTTGTGTGCTCAACAAATGATATAAGCAAGCAATTTATTTCATTGAGGCTTAACAGCTCATGTGCCCAGCATCATTGTCCTCTAATTGCATTCATACACAGAAAACACCTCGTCTCTAGAGGGAATTTTCAGGATCTTTTCTGCTGCAAAGTAGTCATCGTCAAAAAACATTCCGCTTGCTATGTCAATTGATACTTGTAATGCTAGTGTGGACAATGGATTCTCATAGTCCAAGATCTCATATGGAAGTATTCCTTGATTCTGCGCAAACATGGCTGCTTCTTTATAGAACAGTGCTTTTCCTTGCTCACCATCCAGGCAGCACAGATCTGCTATGTCTCTTAATGCACAGTCCATTCCGATCTTATTCCAGTTATCGCACTTACTGATCACATTCACTTGGGCAGCCTCAAGAAGTCCAAGGCAGAGCGCCGAAATCAAATACGAAGATATGCGGGAAGTTTCGTTCGAGAAAAAAACGAGATCAATAAGACTCACCACCACCACCGAGTATCCATTGCTTTTAAGATGCTTGATTATTGTATTTGGAATCTCACTCGATATAAAAAACTCAATCTGCCCAGGAAAGTCAAATAAAACGTAATGGTCTGTGCCATCGATGTTTTCTCTGAAAAACTCTTCAAACCCAGATCCAAATTCTTCAAGAATTGCCTTCGTCGACATGTTCGGGCCTACTTCATATCTATGCTGATATGCCTCTGACGAACACACTGTGCATATGCTGTAGTCAAAGCCCGCATCGTTGGTGTTTCCAGGATCAAGATTCACAGTAAACGGGCTTCTGTGCGAAAGCATATCCTTTTTACTTGCCACATATGTTGATTTCCCACTTCCTGGTGGCCCTATAATAACCTCTGCATACTTCATGCACTGGGGTCGATCATAACACACCAAATGACCGGCTTGGCTCATGCATCCAAGTAACCAACCTCACTTACAGATGGTGTAGCCACTGCTGGCGCATAGCAGCGCACATACATCGCGCATAAGACGTAAATATACAGACACACAAAAAAGCGCCAAGATCAATTGCTTCCAATCGATGGCAGATGCTTCAGAAACTCAAGAGCTCATGCGCAAGCGCCTGACCCCCATCGCCCCTAGGCACACTCCAAAAATTCAAAACATGTATCCTTGGCGGATACTGCCAGCTCTTACACTGGCAAGAACAGATACTACACTTGATCAAAGCCGATTGGCTTGAGAGGTGGGGTGGCAGGCAAAAAATATATTTATACATTTCTGCCGGTCCAATCAGCAGGTGCATAACTCTTGAAACACAAACAAACACAAAAACTGCACATCGAGCACAAAAACAAGATCGATGGGCAGATTCAGGGTGCTCTGGCTAGTTCTTATGTATTACGTGCTGTCGCTCAGCCTGGGATACTTGACATCGTTCCTGCTTTCCAGAAAGACATACAACTTCAGGTTTCCGCTGTTTAAGGCTTCTGCACAGAACCTTATCCACTTCTTGGGAGCATCTGCTGTGCTGAAGCTGCAGAAGGAAAAGGCGCCAAAGCCAAGCTACTTTGGATCGTTTCCATGTGCAATAGCAGGCGCAACAGACATTGGGCTGTCTTCCATTTCACTACGATTCACAACACTGGCATTTTACACAATGGTGAAGTCATCGTCGCCGGTGTTTATTCTTCTCTTTGGATTTGCATTTGGAATTGAAAAGCCGTCAATAACGTTTTTCCTGACTGTGTTTACGATCGGAGTGGGTGTTTTCCTGACATCGATAAAGAACACAAGCTTCGATATTGTTGGGTTTTGGACAATATCGCTTGCATCATTCATGGCTGGCTTCCGCTGGGCATTTGTGCAATACATGATCAGGATCAGAACGGTGAGGCAGGAGGGCATTTTTGTGACGATGAGGGACCTATGCCTGCCGATATCTTTTCTGCTGCTAATGATTTCGCTGTATGCAGAGGGGCTGTCAGAGATGGCAAACTCAAGGTTTTTCAACACGTTGGATGCAGCATTGAAGAACTTTGGATATATCTTGCTGTGTGGGATTCTATCATTTACGCTGCTTTGTGCGGAGTTTTCACTTGTCTCTGAGACGAGTGTTGTGTTTCTGAGCATTGCCGGGATAGCCAAGGAGCTGATGATTGTGATGTATGCGATTCTGCGAAAAGACATTGTGTTGAGCAGCTTGAACTATGCAGGACTGATTGTGAGTATTGCAGGAATAATTATATACAACATTAGCAGAAAACCGCTTGTGCAGGATGCAATGAGCGAGCAAGAGACAGAATAGACGACGATATTTAGTGAATAAAATGCGAGAGATGTGATCAATGCGAAGCGATTGCATGTATGCTGCAAAGATATGCATAGCGCGGCATATGTGTGATTTAAAAAAAGATATGTTGATGCCCATGGATGTGGATTTGAAGGAAAGAAGGCTGAAGGAAGCTGAGAGGCTGAGGAAGAAGAGAAGCTTTCCGTTGAGCTTATTGTATTATCCTGACTACGATGCATCGGCAGAGATATTTATGGAGCTGGGGAATTCTGAGGACGATGTAGGGAAGAAAGTTGAGTATTATGAGGAAGCAGCAAAGACATATGAGATGGGTGATGGAGAGTACAGTAGATACTTAGCATCTCAAGCATATGAGAAGATAGGAGAGATATGCGAGGAGACAAACAAGCGCAAGTCTGTGGATGCATACAAACGATCAGGGGAGTATTCGAAGCAGTGCGGAAGAGAGAGTTTGGCGGCAATATGTTTCCAGAGGGCCGCGGGCCTGCTGAAGAGTGAGAATGAGTTTGAAGAAGCATATGTTTACTTGAATAAAGTGGTGGAATGCTACAGTGGAAGTGGATGGAAGTATCATCGAATAAAGGCGATGAAAGATGTTGCAGAGATTTGTATAGAGCTTAAGAGATATGGGGAGGCATCAAGGATATATACTGGAGTCAGGGAGAGCATGTATCTGTTTTGTGCGTTTCTTTGCCAGGTGATTGAGGGCGTGCCAGCAGATACGGAAGTGGGTGGCGATGAAGAGAAGCTGTGCAAAGCAATTGAGGAGGGGGGAGACAAGGCTGTAAAGGCCATAGGGGAGTATATGCTTACTCATGCGATGAGCAAGGAGGTGAAGATGCTTCTTGAGATTATTCTGGAAATGCTGCAGCCCGAGAATGACATTTTGTAAGCTTGCCTGTTTTGGACAGTATTTATTATTAAAAATTAGCTTTTAGAAAGTAAGAATATTGTAAGATGTAGCTGAAGAATGAGGAGTTTGTGAGAGGGGAAAGTATTGCAATGTGTTCATGGAGGAGTGTAGTAGCGTGGGGATATGGAGCGGACGATTGATATAGTTTGCGATGCATGATGAGAATGTGACTTGGAATAAAATTTTATGAATGATTTCTGCACCCATATTTGCAATGGTAGCCAGTAAGAGTAAGAGCTCAAGATGTCAGACAGGGATGCAGAAGAAATGTAAGGATCTGAATGCGCCAAAGAAGCCGATGTCGGGGTATTTTATTTTTGGACAGGAGCAGAGGAACAAGAATGAGGAGCTGAGGAAGCAGCCGGTAGCAGAGCAAGGAAAGATTATATCTGAGATGTGGAAGAATCTGAGTGAAGAGCAGAGGAACGAGTACAACGACATTTCGAACAAGGAGAGGGAGCAGTACTATGTGGCGATGAATGAGTATAAGAAGAGTGAGCAGTATCAGGAGTATCTTGAGAAGGTGAAGGAAGCAGAAGCGGCAGCAGGAAAGAAGAAAAAGAAAGGAACGAAGAAGGTGACGGGGTACAATGAGTTTTTCAAGGAGATACGAAAGACGATATCTGAGGAGAATCCTGGGTTTTCGATGACTGAGACGACATCTGCTGTTGCAAAGAGATGGAAGGAATTGAGCACAGAGGAGAAGGATGTTTACAAGAAGATTGCCGACGAGAAGAATATGAAGGCAGGAGTAGTTGGGGAGTGATCTTTATTAAAGCGGTTCTATTATGATTGAGTATTTGAGACGGGAGGATGTTTTTGAAGTGAAAGAGGAACCCTTGGGATGAAGAAATGCAACCAGGCGCATTCAAGGACTGTGCTTCGTATGAACAAGAGTTCTACAACACCGTATTCTACCTTTTTCAAGGAGTACATGATGAAGCATGGAGTCGGAAGTATGAGTGTGATTGAGGCGGCACATTTGGTTGCTAATAGATGGAAAGAGATGTCGAATGACGAGCAAAGTGTTTATGCAGTAAAATACAAGGCGGATATGCGCAGGAATAATCTAAAGGCAAATAATTACAATGAATGCAAGCTGTGCGACGACGAAGAGGTAATAGAAGCATTTAGGAGCGGAAAGTTTAAGAATTGGAAGACTACCGGATACATGTGTTATCTGGAAGAAGTGTTTGATATATGCGGAGACATGCAGGCATCGGCAGAGGAGAATGCAGTTATGTTTTCAGTGATGTGGAATAGTCTTAATGAAGAAGTAAAGAATAGGTACAGGAGATGTGCATCGATGAGAGTCATGGAGCAAGCAAGCAAACTAAAGAATAGCTGCAAACGCAAAACATGCAAGCGACTTCAGGGGGGCTCGAACCCCCAACCTTCGGTTCCGTAGACCGACGTTCTACCATTGAACTATGAAGCCTCCCAAATTAAAGGGTTTCTGTGGTATCTCAACAGTCAGTTTATATTGGCATGTGAATTCACAAAGCATGCAAATAAGAGTATTCCTGTGGAGACACATATTGCATGTTTTTGTTATGCATAGCAACAAATAGTCTGCTGATTCATATTGAGGATGCAAGTATCTGTGAATCAAAATACAACATAATTACTAATTGAGCATAAATAGTACCTGAATACAATACATAAAATAATAACTAACTTAGTTTATTTTTCTTGCTTTGCCTGCCTGAATCTTTTCTTTGCCATTGAAAATGAATACTTCTCTTTCCTCTCAATAATGTAATCATCTTTGGCAACTCCAAATGCAGACATATGTATTCTTGTGTCCTTCCTTCCATATGGAATAAATGTCTGATCTCTATATTCCTTGCTTTCCACTGTCTTATTCTCACTCCTCTCTTTCGTCTTTTCCCCATACATCTTTTTCAACTGATCTACAAGCATCTCTTTGCGCTCAAAGACCGAATGTGTCTTGAACTGCATAATCTTGTCCTTGTACTCCACAGGAACACTTACTTTCCTGCGAAACTCAAGACACTTCTGATATCCTTTGGCTGCTGACGCCCTGAGATCTTCAAACCCGTCAAGACTATATTTGTCAAGGTACTCTTGCGGAATCGTACCTATCTCTACGTTCGGAAGATACGTCTCCTGTATGTTAAAAAAGTGGAAAATGTCCGTGTATGTGACAAAGCTGTACTGTACCCCAAGTCCTCGGACACGTCCAACCCTGTGTAAAAATGTTTTTTCATCACACAGGTCATAGTTCACAACAGTATCAAGCAGAGGAATGTCCAATCCCCTTGCTGCCACATCAGTAACAACAAGAACACCAGATCGTGATGCATTGAACCTCCGGAAGTTAATTGCCCTTGCTTCATCATCCATAGACGAATATATCCCTCGAGACTCAAATCCATTGTTGTTCAGGATCTCAAGAAGCAGCTCAACCCCATACTTCGTTGAAACAAACACCACTGTCTTTTTGAACTTGTCTAGAATATGCAGCAATGCTCCCTCTTTACTCTCACTAGATACATAAAAAAACATGTGTTTGACAGTGTCATTGATCTTCATCTCAATCTCGACTATCTTTATGTCCAGTGCATGGCTTGGAAGCGTTGCACTGAAAAAAGCCTTCTGGCACATCAGATTTTCATTCAGCTCCATGAACACCTTCCTCAGATTCGGCTCTTCAAGAATCCTATCTATTTCATCTACAACAAGCATACTGACATTTGCATCTTCGATTGCGCCAGGCGTGTTTATCTCAATCATCTGCTCCACCTCCTTCATTCCTCTTGTCAACTTCTTCATTGCCTTGCTTACTTGCTCTACCAGCTCTTTTGTAGGAACCACTACAAGTGTCTTTTCTCTATCAATAGCTCTTTGTATTGCAGGAATCAAATAGCACAGCGTCTTTCCACTTCCTGTTCTTCCTATCCCCATCAAGCTTCGCTTCTCAAGAATCATTGGTATCGTCTTTCTCTGTATAGGTGTGGGATTCTCATGGAAAATGTTGCGCAACAGTCTGCAATCAAGATTCATGGTCTTGAACGATCCTCCCTTGATTTTTCCTTCTCTGCCACCCATGGGTTGCTAAGCATGCAAACATAAAAATCCGCTTAGCAGTATTCCCATGCTGGTCTGTAATGCATGTGGCTTGGAGCTCACTTTGACGGACACCACATATGTATGCCCAGAAGGGCACATCCTAGAGAACAAGATAGAGATTGGAAACGAATTTGCCCAAACCATTGCTGAAAAGACAAAAAGGGATATTATGGATCCTGTTTCAATCATCAAAAGCACATACGGCACAGACTACACAAGCCTGCTGCTTTTATACTATATGTTCGAAGACATCAGGGCATACTTGGGCATCAAGTCGTCAAAGTACTTCGATATCTTTCTCAACTTCATAGCAGAAAAAAACGAAAAGAAGCTCGATAAGTCGTACATTACAATGCCAATACTCAGAGCGCTGACATACTACTCAAAAAGAATGGAAGTCGAGGCAAAAAATCAAACATACTTATACCTGGACTACTACATTGCAATGGAGGCATATCCATACAAAAAACGCATAGAGGAAAGAGCGAATGCGTTGAAGATAAAAAAGCGATTCAAAATGGGCCTCCAAATATCCGGATTCGGCTTGAACATCATAAGCACGGTTCTGGGATGCTTCGGCGAGGCAGGCACAGAACTGAGAAGCTATGCAATAAAAAAAGACCTGTTGCTGTTCAAAAACGAGTCAGGCATTCCAAGCGCAGAGCTTGAAAGAAACAAGGCCTGCTTCAGAATGGATCTAAGAAGAGACTACGAGATGATGTTTGGTTACTTTGAAAGAATATGCAAAATTATTCTGTTGGATATCACTACAGACCTTATAAGCAAGTTTAAAGTATTCTTCTATGCATCAGACTACACTAAAACAATTCATATACCTGAGATTGAGATATGTGTGTTTCTTTATGTCTATATAATGATGTATCAGCGAGACTTCGACGTCACCAATGCCAATTGCAATCTCAAAGAAATTATACTCAGGGATTATAACATAGCATTTAAAAAGCAGCATTCGGATAGCAGTGAGGAATATGCAAAAGCAGCATGGAAGTACCAATACGCACACCAAAGCTTTGAGACAGGTTTAAAGTCGTTAATATTCAAAATTACATGGATGAGCGATTATATATTGAATCAAAAGATAAAAAAGTTGAAGAAACTCTTCTCGGAATGCAAGGACATTGACAAGTATCAGAAAAAACGTTGTGATGATGAAAAAATCATACTGAAGCAAAACATAAAATACATAAAAATTTTAATGCTTCAAAGAATTAGCAAAATACGTAAAAATAAACTCTAGAAATCAACCATACGGGGCTTTATCCTATTTTCATGCCAGCTGTCTGTGTACGTTTATTATACTTTTACACGATTCATCACTGAATTCCCAATAACCTCTCTAAGCGCCATAGTTGCATAGCAAGAACTTTTGAGAGAAAATTTTATCACAATGTTTCCCTCGGCATCATCCACATCAATATCAATGTCATACGCTGTCTCAACCATCTTCCTGAACCCCCCCTTCAGTAGTTTGTTATCCATCTTCTCAAGCCTCAAAACCACATCTGTAATCTTGAAGTCCTCAGGATTTTGCACTTCTATAACCTCATCTCCTGCTAATACCAAGTCCCCTCTCAAAACATTCTTGCCCTTTTCAATCCTTTCGTTTATCGCATCATTAAACTTTCTGCTCTGGCACGAATGCAGATACAACATCCTTAGCTCTCGCCTCATTCCAAACACTATATCCTTTGCTTTCATTCCTTTTGCTTTCGATTTCAAAATGTATTTCTCAGTGCTGTCTCCAATATCCATCGGCTCTTCGTATCTTCCTGAAGCATACATCTCATAGCACTTTCCGCACTTCATTATCTCATCAACCGCCTCATCATACTTCTTCTCGAGAATATACTGCCCTATAACATGGTTCATCAGCTTATTTCCAAATCTTTGCTGTCCAAAATAATTCAAAAATCCTTCTCCAAGCCTCTTTACTGCATGCTTGTCTGTAAATCCTCTCACAACTACCCTGAACCGGTTTCCGTTCAGATCTCCTATCTTCTTAGAAAACGACTTTCGTATCCCAAATATCCTTATTGAAGATTTCAACCTTTCATCGCAATCCGCATCCATACAACTGTCTTCATATTTCTGCATTTCATTCGCGTGTGTAGCTATGCCTCCATCTTCTGCATTTCCATCACATTCATTATCCTCTTGCCCCTTGCCGCATATCTTGGTTGATCCAACCATATATTCTTTCGCCTCCACACTTTTCTTTGCATTCATCAACATTTCTGCTGCCATTTTTGTGTTACTTTCCTCAATGCCTTGCTTTGTGTATCCTTGCTCAATATACTCTTCCCACCCAACCACATTTGGACTCTTGTTTAGTTCAACTGCAAGCCCATAAAGCTTCATAAACGAGCATTTGACTGTCACCTCCTGGAATGTGACCGCCCTTTTGTCCTTATTGCCTGCAAACTGAAACAGCGTGGACGAAACTCCAAGCCTTCTGCATATCCACTTTCCTGCATCAATCGTATTGAACATCACCTTCTGCATAACAAACGAGTAGAAATCAACATCTGTCTCTTCAATGCATATCCGTCCATCAACAGTCTTCGCCTTTACAAAAGGATAGTACTTCAATATCCTATGAACTTCTGTTCGCTTCACTCTCTCGCATTCCTCCTGCCCAACACTCTCTGCTGCCATTTTACCAGACACATACTTTTCATAGTCAACAATCGGTGACACCCCACAAATCCTGCATGCTGTTATTTCTTGCACCACAAAATCAAACGCCGTCTTTTTCAGCACACACCTGCTCTCATCAACATGGCTTCCAAAAAACTTCTTTACTCCTATCATCTCGCAGTCATCTGCCATGAGGGCTCTGCATGCATACTAATCTTATCTACTCGTCTTTTGCATAAATTACATCAGCTTTAAATAATCATTCACAAAATCTTCTTCCACCCACCTACATACATTAATAAAACATCACTCTTTATTATCACTTGCATTCCGTCTTTTTCTATACTCGCTGATCTCATTCCTCTTTCTTTTCAAGTCCATCTGCCTTTCCTTCATCTCGTTTTTCTTCCGATTATACACATTAAGTAACTCTACATCATCTACACCCAACTGCTCTGCTTCTTCCAATCGCTCTTCAAGCACCAAAAGCTCAAACAACCTTTCTTTAACATCGCTCAGCCCCTCACTCATGCATGCCTTGTAGCTCTCAACCGTATCCAATATTCTGCACAGCATCCCCAGCATCTTTTGTGAATATCTCATCGACGATACATTCAAAAACGCCTCCATCGCCTCCTTATACCTTCTCATACACACCATAGCATTCCCTAAATTCACATATCCTCCTTTCCAGTCAACAGCCACTTCCCTAAATATCGTTGCTGCTTCCTCATGCCTTCCACTCAATGCAAGACATATCCCCACTCCATTTCCACAATAGTAGGAACTCAGTCCTTTAGAAAATGCATCCATTGCCTTCTCTAATGCAGAATCATCTTTCTCTTTCATAAAACTTCTTATGCATATGTTTCCTAGCGCAATGCTACTGTAGACGGTGTCCATCCTTTGCAGTATTTTCTTCGCTAGCTTGAACTCTTTTCGCTGCATGTGATGATATCCCATCAGCTCAAGCTCTTCAGAAACATGCTCTATCCCCTCTCCTGCAACAGAAAGCACAAGATTGGCCTCCTTGATCGTGCATTCTCTAAGCATCTGCCTGCTTTCTGTTGCATATCCAATATTATATTTTATCATCTCCCTATACTCATCAGGACACTCTTCCAACGCCTTCCTTAGATACTTCACCCCATCGTTTATCCGTCCGTCTTTTTCGATGTTGCAATTCTCTCCAATCGATCCCATTAAAAACCTATCACTTCCTTCCTCCTCATTCTCTTTATGCCCATCAAAAGGTCTCATGTCTCTGCACATAAAGTACCCAATGTTGTTCATTACAACAAAGTTTTCAATCCAACAATTGCCAATAAGCTTCATATATCTTCTAAGCCCTACATCCGTCTTTTTCTTCCCTCCTAGTATTGCAGAAGCCACATCACGGAGTTCTTCACTGCATCCACTCAGGTCCACATCGCCTACCTCGCTTTTAATCGACATATACACCTTGAAGTCACAAAACTCCTTTGATGCATAGCTTACATCCCTCATCTTCTGCTGCACAATCCTCTGCAAATTATACTCGCTCTTAATAAACAACTTATCACACTCAAGGCTCTCCATATACCATCTTTTTGCATTTTCAATAGATCCGGAAACATGCTCAATCTTCGCTCGGAGATACAGGCTTTCTGCATTCTTAGGAATCCTATCAATCATCTCACTGGCTTTTCCAAAATCTTTTCTTTCCACAAGCTCCTCCACCTGCCTTATCATCACATCTGTGCTTGATGCATCATCGTACTCATCGCATGCACCAAGCCTATACAAAACATTCCTCATCCCTTCAGATTCAAATAGCTTCACTGCTTTGCACATCTCCTTCGTATCCCTTGCCTCCTTCACAATGCAGTATCCCCTTACAATCCTATTCATCGACTTTCTTGCTTCTAAATAGTTGCCTGTATAATAATTGCATATTTCCACTCCAAGCTGGAATCCTGCCTTTCTGAACAGAAAAAGCGCTCCGTCATAGCTCTTTCGTCTCAGCGATACAAATCCCTTCAAAACATCGAAGGTTGCCGATTCAGCCCCCCCGATCCTCTGCACTACATCAATCGCATCAATCCCAGCCTGTAGTTTGCATGCAAGCAGCATCAACAGGCTTGTACATCCTGTATCTATTCCTCGCTCTATTACTTGCTCAATAATCTTCATTGCAAGTCTTGGATGCCTCCTGTATGCGTGAGCAATTGCATAATGCATCATCGACTGAGCATTACTGCTCCTCAAAATCTCAAGAAGACGATCAAAGCACACATCCAATGGCGGATCCTCCGTATCAAAGTCAAAACATTCTCCATCTCCACGAGGAACTTTAATAATCATTTTAAGGGCCGCCAAAAAACAACCAATCTTAACAGGGCACATGCCGTCACTCAATCCACTTCTCTGTAGCGCAGGAATGCCATGATTATACGATCGCATCAAGAAAACACATTCCATCCTTGATAAACTCCCTGCCTTCAGCAATGATTTTGTTATAGTCATCTCTAATGTGCTCCTTAGCCATATCCTCATGCATCAGCTCGCCAATTCTCTCCCTGCATCTTCTGATTTCGTCTGCAAGGTCATTCATCTTGGTATGAATGTCATCCTCCCCAGCATCCCGTTGGACAACACCGATCGATGTGAAATACATAAACACGAGGTGGTTGACTTCATTCTGCAGCTCTGTAGCTCTCATTCTGCAAGGCATATCAATTGCGCTGTACACTTAATCCAAGGCAAAATTTGCCCTTAATTTAAAATGGTATGTGAATTCAATGTGCTAACTTATAGAGAACAATAAGACTTGGAAGGATCGTTACGCCAGAGATTAAGGAAATGAGGAACACATATGCAATAATTGTCGGGATTATCGATAGGAATTTTGTGCTTTTGCAAAAGAAGGACGGTACCCGAGAGGTGTGTGCAACGAACAGACTACATCTCGAGGAAGAGGTGATTGACATCAGTGGGCTTTCAGCCGAAGAAATAGGGAATGCGATTCCTGGCGACATTTGTGTCAACGACACTACAAATGACTTTGATAGGTTCAAGCAGAAGCTCACCAAGCGAATTGAGGATGAGATACTGAGGGAGAAGGGATTGGCGTGATTAAAAGCTTTTATTTGCATAATGTATTTATTATTTATTGAGTCCTGTACTGGATAAGAATGAGTGCTGAAGCTGATATGCGATGTGAAGTATGACGTGCTTATTAATGGTTGGATTTGGCACACTTGTCCTGTATAAAGCTGAACACAGCCTTTATGTTGCGTGCTCTGTTATTGATCCCATTTAGATGAAATGCACTTGGCTCTTTGCATTTATCGGGATTGATGGCCTGGCCTGTGTGACTGTGCTGCTTAAGCAATTCAGATACGGATTTCAGCACCTTGTGTGCATCTTTAGATGCCAAGGGCATGCGCTCAAGCAGATCACAATCCACACCCTCGACATTCCATTCGTCTTCAGCATGTGATTTTGACATCTTGAACAGCACATGCGATCGTCCCTTGAATACTACGCATGAAAGCTCGAGGACACTTATGGGGAATGCATAGGTGTGAGGAATTGAAGCCTGCTTTATTCTATCAAACTCTAGAAGCATGTACAGCCTGTTGTCATGATCAATAAGCATTCTGAATAAATAAACACAGTTGCAATTATATCTGTGTATCAAATGTTTCTGAGCCTTAGTGTAGTTGCTCATGGAGTATGAGCAGTGTGTATGCTTTACATGTGTGAAGCAAAGGCGAGCATTCGATTTGTTCGAAATGAAACAGACGATTCAAAACACATAAAAGCAAAAAGTTAAAGCTGGAAAATCAGGATGGATGAAGGCGAGAGTGGAAGGCCAATAGAAATACCATCGAGAGGAAGGCCTCGGAAACGGGACACAGAGCCTTTCCTGAACACTAACGGTTTCCACGATCAATATGCTGACCAGGATCTGATTGAGTTCATGAAAAAGGTTAATTTTACTTCGATGGATGGTCCGATGAGTATGAGTATGCCATCCTCTGGATTTGACGGGTACTTTCACCAGAGCAATTCAAGCAGCTCGAGTTCGTACGGCAACCAACTTGCAGACATGAAAAATGCATATGAAACACATAGGTCGTTTTCTACAGATGATGGCTATTTTACATATGACACGTCTGAATCGAAAAAAGTAGGGACTATTGGCATGTATGATACAAGAAGTGGATCTGAAATAGCAGTCACGGATGAGTTTTTGACAGATAGCATTGGTCAAATCACAGTAGACAGTTGTCTGAGTAATGGCAAAAGCCAAAGCTTGGACAGTAAAATGAACAATGGAATACAACCTGTGCATTCGTCTGATAAATTCAACTCTACAAAAGACTATCATAATGGATTTTATATACAGCCTGACAAGAACGTAAAAGCAGAGCCAAATCGCACTGAAGGCTATATGCCTATGGAAAATATCCAATCGCAGGCATTCCAAAGGCCTTATTATGCAAAAGACAGCGATGGATATTCACATGGCCATAATCAGCAAGGAGCAGCATTTCCTCAGTGCACCACTTGGAATGATGGTAGGAACGAGCCGTTTTTTCCTTATCAGTCAGACTTTGTTCCTGGCCATGGATATTCGGCACAAGGACTGTATAACGATCGCATGCGTATGAATACCAATTCATCATGGAAAAGAGCTGGAGTATCTGCGCCTAAAGAAGACATGGCATGCTATTACAGAAACACAGGCAACGATAGATCATCCCGTTCCCCGCTGCTTGCCAGCCCCTTTGGTATACATCGTCATGAAGATTTGTCTCAGGATCCAAGGTATATTCGGCATCATCAGTATCCACAGATGTTTATGAACGGCACGGATCAAGGCAGCAGGAATTTTGTAAATGGTGTGGATACAGCACAAGATGGAAGGCTAATGCATCCTACATTTGGTGGAGATGCGCCACTCAACCATCCAGATTACTCGTTTGCGGAGTATGGGCAGCAGCAGTACATAGACTCTGCAATGCAAGGAAGTGCCTGGATGAACAGGAAAAAAAGAAGAAACAATCCTCTGATGTGGCAATACATAAAAACAAACCAGACATTCTATCCTAGCATTGTGCATCCATCAAAGTATTCAAGTCTTGACTTTGTGCAGGGAATGGAAGACAACCAGAGAATGTGCCTTGGAGGGCTCAGAAGGGCGTCAGCCGAAAAGGACAACGGCAATTCTGCATTCCCACTGTTCTTGAACTCAAGCAAGGCATCACCCAATGAGTTCAAGGAGGTCATTCACAACTTCAAAAGATCGGTAAGCGAACTTGACTTCAACAATGTCACAGTCCAACAGCTGAAGGGACTAATGAAGGAGTTTGGATTGAACTATTCAGGCAAGAAAAACGAGCTGATTGAACGGCTTCAAGAGATCCTTGTAAAAATAGATGAGAAGCAGGATGCAAAGCCAGAAGACCAACGGCCGCATGAACCCCCAAAAGAGAAGGAAGCAGATGACTTTGAGTTCTACTTCTTCTGAATGTATATAGAAAACCCAAATTAAACTCTCTATTTAATTTCAATCAAAAACAGTTTATTTCTCGCCTTGTACTCCTTTGATAGCACACAATCTCTTCTTTCTCATGCCATAGCACAATCATTTCTCTCACTACAGAAACACCTGATACGTTATCATTATGCACTCACTTCTTCTTACTTCCAGACTTCGGTGGATTGTTTTTGAACAGAATGATGTCTCCGTCATTTACGATGTATGTCTTTCCTCGTTGATAGTATTTTCCGGCCTTCTTTACTTCTACTTCGTTTCCATATTCTTTGAAATCTTCAAAAGACATCACCTCGGCCATAATGAAGTAGTTCTTGAAGTCAGAGTGGATTACTCCTCCGGCACACGGTGCACTACTTCCTCTTCGGATTGTCCAGCTCTTTACCTCATCATGCCCAACCGTGAAGAAGTTAATCAGGTTGAGCAGTTCATATCCTTTCCTGATTACCTTTTCCAAAAACACCCTGGACTCGCTCCTACTCTCATATGCTGCACTGAAAACAATAACATCACTACCATACTTCTTGATAACTGCCCGCACATGCTTGTTTACGCGACGCTGCTCATAGTCCTCATCGCTAATGTTTGCAAGATACACCACATTCTTAACTGTAAGCAGATTCAATGTGCTGATGTATGCAATCTCGTCATCTTTGAATGTGTGCTGGTTCACCCACTCAGCTTTTAATATCTCAAGCAGCCTGTCAACCAGTAATGCTTGGTCCTTGAGCTTCTTGTCAAGAGGCTTTGCTCTCATCTCCTTCTGCATCTTCTCTGCATGCTTCGACAGTGTCTCAAGATCCTTCAATCGTAGCTCTTCATTCACCGTATCGATGTCTCGTATTGGATCCACTGTGTCTTCAAAATGCGCTACGTTCGGATCCTCAAAGCACCTTACTACATGGAATATCCCGTCCACATTTCTGATATGGTCGAGAAAATGATTCCCTAGCCCAAGTCCTGTGCTTGCTCCCTTCACAAGCCCTGCTATGTCCGTAATGCTTAGATACGCCTTCTTCACATTCTGCGGCTTGTACTTCTCCACAAGAAAATCGATCCTTTTGTCCTCAATCTCAACACGTCCCTCAGAAGGATCAATAGTGCAGAAAGGATAGTTCTCCGCAGGCACACTACTCTTTGTCAAAAAATTGAACAACGTCGACTTTCCTGCATTTGGAAGCCCCACTATGCCCATGCTCAGGTTGTGGGACTTCGATGATCTTGCAAACAGCACAACCTTCTTCTCATCCATTTGGGGATTCATTTTCAACTCAATATCTGCCACACTAGGTAGTAGCTCCACACACAGTCTCTTACTCTACAGCTAACCCAACCACTCAGCACACACAATTACAAAACAAACAGAAAATCATACAACTATTTATTCCGATCAGTCTTGAAAGCAACATGTAGAGAATACAGATGCAAAAAGCCTCGAGAACCATCCCTTCTCCTCTCGCTTCTCATTAGGATCCTGATATACTACAAACTCATCCATACTGTCTTTCCCCGCTTCTGTACATTCTTTTTTATCATCATTGCAGTCATACATTCCTTCGCTCTCCTGTGTATCATTTGTGCAAATAGATGTCTGAGACGACGACCTACTACCTCGAGACAGGTCAGGAATCTTATAGTGCACATCACACACATGAACATTGCAGTTTATACCGTACTGCTTCATATCTCCATCACGGTCTTCCTGTGCCACATCTACATACATCACCTTCTGCTCAATCATTTCTGCAGGCACCATCTCCTTCGAATGCATCACCATACTTACCATCTCTGTACTTGCTTCATCCTTCTCGTCATCAAGCTCTGCAAGAAGCTTTCTTTTGGCATTCTCAAGACGCTCCTCCTCTTCACAATCATCAACGCACCCCTCCTCCTTGTACATGGGTTCCTCACTCCACATCACTTGCTTCATACATGCCTTGTACTCTTCAACAATTTTTGAATTATCCACACTATTTGTTTTTATTGTATCAATCTCCATCACCTCCCCATTACATACATCATTCAACTCCTTGTCACACTCCACAGCCACCTCTTCGTTTAGGCTTTCAACCATGCATCTTACATTTACTCCATTCATGATTCTGTTTTCCTCCATTCCACCTTCAAACAGCCTTTTCTTGATCTCCACAAAGTTCCCCTCTGGACTCTTCATCTTCCCCTCTATTCGGTCAACCCTTATTGAAACAAGGTTTCCAGGCCCCTTTGTGTTTTTCCTTGCAAGAGACTCTGTCTCAAGTGCAACCATCTTGCTCATGCTCCTCTTAAAGCTCGAAACACCATCTTCCTCCTTGCTACCGACATCCAATCCACTCATGGGTCAAAAAATCATTGCATATTTCAAGTGTCTCTTCATGCACTTCACACACATCATCTATGCGTAAATAGATTTCCAAGCTTCCTTAGTTCAGCGCGGCTTGCTGTATGTATTCAGCAGCTTCAACCAAGTACAAACATTTAATTTATGAGCATGTATGTGCTTTGTCGAATGCAAATAAGGAAAGCTACAAATGTACACAATGCCTCGATGCATTATTAACACCAGCTTGGCACTTCTGGCATGCATGTATGCCAAGCATTCATTGTGTCGATATATCTCTACGCAATCATATGATGATTGCAATTAACATTGAACCATCCGTCTTAATCATAGGCATTGAAAAATTATCCATGGTTTACAAGAGAAAGCGCAATGTAAAGATAGACAACAACAAATCATATGCAATATGCAAGCCGGGAAGCACAGATGAGCTTCTACTTGAGGAGTATGTGCCGCCAACACTTGATACAGGAATGGAAGCTGATGAAGAGAAAGAGGTGCATCTGAAGAGCATCATTGAGGAGGGTAAGGGCGACATTCCGATTCCTGTGATAGTGGATGTTGATAATCTAGCAAGGAGGGAGTATGGAAAGTATTTTGCATCAAAGAGGTATGTTGAATGGCTTGGAGATGCATCTAATGAATATATTGTGAATAGCGACGACGAAAGGAGCTGTAGGGAGATGGAGATAAGCAAGGAGAAGCTCCAGAAGCTTCTTTTGACGATATCAAGGGATCAGTGCCTTTCGAACGAGAACAAGAAGTATGTGGAAATGGTAGCATCGAGGATTCTTGTCAGGAGCGACAAGCTTGATTCGCCTGCCTACATATGCTTCCGAAGAAGGGTAGTTAAGCCGAATAGACGAAGCAGAAAGTGCGAGGAGCTGGCAAAGGAGAAGGTTGAGAGGATGTGGACTGAGTTTTACCTGCTTGAGAAGTTGTGCAAACTATACTACAGCAAAAATAGGCTTGAGAGGGAGTCTGAGGATGTTGAAGATGAGTTGGTCAAGGTTACATATACACTTATGAAAGGTAGCACTAGGAGTACCAGGAGAAAGATAGCAAGAAAGATTCGTGGCGATGCAATCAAACCATCAGAAAGCACAAATGGAGGTAGAGAGGGCTTGCTGTTCGATAGATGGAGAATTAAAGCACTAAGACGAAGAATTGCAGAGGCCAAAGACAAGGCATGCACAGAAGAGAATGAAGCAGAGGTTAAGGCTCTAAGGAGATACAACCTGATGCACAACAAATGATTAAAGACAAGGAATAATGTAATATACACAGCAGTAGATGACTGCAATGCACATGTGAAGTATGCAGTGAAAATAACCCTGGAGAGGCAAAATGAAGTGTGAATGGGATGGATGTGAAGAAAGCATTGAGGAAGATTCTAAGAAGCATTTTCTCATGCATATTGAGAGGCAGAGTGCGAACAAGTGTTTGTGGAGAGGCTGCACAAGGAGTGGCGAGATTCAAGCCAGTAAGCATGCATTACTAGCACATGCGCGCAGACATACCGGAGAAAAGCCTTTTGAATGCCATATATGTGGAAAGGATTACACAAGAAGCGATCCTTTGAAGAAGCATTTGGCACGCCACGAAGCTGTGGAAAGTAAGAATGCAAGCCTCATTGCAAAAATTGAGTATCTAGGTGTTCTACTTACTGAGCACCGCAGAGAGACGATCCGAATGATGAATCAAATTGAGTCGATACGACGCAACATACAGGTAGTCAATAGTAAAATAATTGGCAAAATCAAGAAAGATCTCTAATAAGCATTTATTGTACTGCTAGCAATGCCTGATGCTTGTGGAGTGTTGATGGCGATGCATAGCATTTGATGTTTGTGCCTACTCACGATTCCAATGCTATATAGTCTATATATGAACCCTTGATGAACAGCGATGAGTAGTATGCCACTGCATCCTTAGCAGCACTGTGGTATGCCACTGATTCTAAGGATATGTTCAAATACACATCTATTGCAACAGATGTTCCTTTGTATTCTGATCCGTCACATATTTGCACTTTTACTTGTTTTCCTATGAAGTCTGAGTACATTGCTGAGTAGTCTATTTCCATGAAGGGCTATGCAGTTGGATTTGTGGAGCAGCACTAGCTATTAAAAATATTTTTTTGTGAACCGTGAATGTCAAAGATTTACTTGAAGACGTGGAAGGACAAGAGAGAGAAAGAGCCGAACAAGAACCTGTCGTTCAAGGAAAGATTGAGGATAAAACAGCAGATGATAGCAGTCAAGCAGGCCATGCAAACGAAGATAAAAACATTGAAGACGAAGAAGAAGACGTTCCTTAGAGAACGCCAGAGGCAAAGGGAGGCCAAGGCAAACGAGAAAAGTAAGAAGGCTTAGGATTGAGCTGCGGGTTTCAGAATTGCATTAGCAGTTATCAAACGATCAACGATATTTTGCCTGGATTAAATGGTTTAGCAGAATGCCTTTCCTTTTGGATATTTATTTGCTTCGTAAAGGAATATGTTTAGTATTTTTATATAGCAATGCTTTATTTACTCAATCCCTATTCTAGCATTTTTACTCTTGATGTCATTTACTAGATACTCAAGGTGCGGATTGTCCTTGCATTCTCTCCGAAGGTAAACAATCCAGTCTTTCAGTGCAGACAGGTCCCATACAGATTGGTAATGCAGCATAAATACTGCGTAGACCTGCAGTTCTAAAGAGCCTTTCATCACAGCGGAGTTCGGAAAGTATGAGCCTCCGCATAACAAGTTCCTTATACAGACTTTCAGGAGCAGGTCAACATCTTCATATTCATTCAGCAATCTGACGATCGAGTCTATGCTATTGAGAGACAGTAGTGTGACAAGGCACTGTCTGAGAATCATCTTTTCAGATGGATCAGATGACTTGGATACCACAATCTGTGTCACTGTGTTTCTAATGATTCTTTCCACAGCCTTGCTGTTCTCTATGGAAATGTCTCCAAGCACAAAAAACAGCAGGAATTTCTCAAAATTATTCGATGTCTCAAACATGCTTATAAACATCTCTGTGCTCTTCTTTCCAATATTAAGCAACAGGCTCTTAGATGATGGAATGCTCAACGTTGTTCCAGAAAATACCTCGTAATATCCAAATAGCTCATCAATCCCCGTGTATTGCATCATCAAATGCCTTATTCGCTCCTCAACATTGTCGCCAACAACAATCCTGCACTTGATGTACGTGCAGTATTCATCAATGTTCGATTTGTCCAGCACATAGTCCTTATCCGTGATGTAATCACTATACGGGCTTTTTCTTGAATACACAGAATACAGAATCATCTTCGACAAAACCCTGAAAACAGCAGGATGGCCTACATCAGGAACAACAAATCCTTTTCCAAACCCAACCTCGACATTCTCAATATCGTAATCAACCAGATTCTCGTAGATCTGTATTGCAATCTCCCTCACACCTGCATTTTCATTTACATATGCATTGAACCAGCTCTCGTTATTCATCACAAACTTACATGCTTCGTGGTTCTCCCTTGTTACTTCATGCAGATATCTGAATCCCTCGATGTCGTCCTCGGCAAGTCTTTCCAGAAAGTTCTCATTCATAAAAAACGAAAAATCTGCAAACAGCCTTGCATACTTGAAAAACCTTGCATTCGGTGTTGATAGAATCACATTGATGATCTGCACATCGCTTATCACTATCCCAGTGTTCAGTTGAAATTCCACTACTCTATTTGTAACTTGCGGATTGTTAAGCATTGCAACTCTGATGTGCTGAGACATCAGTGAGAGTCGCGAGCTCACACAGTCGCTGCCGATTCTATTTTCTGCCATCGCTCTTTTCTCGTAAAACCTTTCAAGTACATCAAAGCACCGCACAATTGTCAGAGGATCCTCGCTCTTAAGCGCATTGATTGCAAACATTACAGAGTCATTCCCTCCATAAAACACACAGAACCTAAGAAAGCTGGGCGTCATCTCAAACACTCGGCAGCCAAGCTCTCTCTCAAAATCCAAAGGCACGCCTTCCTTGTTGAATATCTCAACTCCCTTCATAAACTCAACTATCGTTTCTCTGCACTCCTCGTCCCTCATAAATGACGAAAGAATCTCATATATGCACCCCTTGATCTTGAGCGATATCTGCCCCACAAGAGTATTCAGAAACACCTCAATGAACCTCATGAAATACAGTCTGACATGCTCAAGATCACGGTCCCTGAACATCATCAGCTTCACTATCACCTCCATAAGATGATGTATCAGCTTCTCGTCTTCAGGCCTGACCTTCCTGTATTCCGCCTGGCTGAGCGAATTTATCATCTCAAGAGCTTTCCGCAGGTCATTGAACAGCCCTGCCTTCGACAGTACCTCGTATCCCTTCACATAGCTTTCTTCATCAACCATCAGTGAATATACAAATCCAACATAAGATTCTTCCTTGTCCTCTTCATCAATATCCAGCAACTCCAGATCCTTCTTCTCATTCAACTCATAGAATATCTGATATATCACCACCCTATCTCTTCCTTCCCTTAGCTTTTCTTTGCATATGTTGATTATCTTCTCTCTGATTTGCGGACGAAGTGCCTCTTTGAAGCTCCTGAGTAACTCCAGTAGAACAGGCCCAAGTACAAACTCATGAATAACACGCAGATCATACGACTTCCATGCTGATGTCTCAAATACCACGGCAAGATTCACTGTGACTCTGTCTGGAATCTCCTGTTCGCTCAAACGCCGTCTGATCTTCTCAACATGAATGCCATCACCAACCATGCACAGGATATCCACAATTGCTTCATCAATCCTCATCTTGATATCTTCGATCTCCAGACTGCACTCAGGCGTCACCACCGGAATGTCTTCAAATAGCAGATCGCATATAGCCATGCACACATCTGCGCCCAGGCCGATCTTGTTTCTGCATACAAAGTCTAGCAGAACCACCACATTGTACTTCAGCGTGTACAGCGCAAGAGCCTTGCTATCATCTGCAGAGTATGTCTTTATGCGCCCGTACTCCATTTCGCTTGCACACAATGCATCCCTCATAAACCTCATGTCATTTTCTGTGACCATGTGTATATTGTCGTATATCTTGTTTCTTATCTCCTTGAACCTTTCAATAACCATTCGCATGAGATGGCTTTGTAGAATTGAAAAAATTTACGCACCCTGCAAATGAGAAAGTTCTATAAGAAGATCCAAGTTCACTGTCCGGTTGAGAAGGCTGGGATCAAGAAGCCATCGAAGATTGTGTGTGAGAGGTTCAGGAAGGCGCGTGCAGTTGCGGTTGCGGTTGTGGACGAGATAAGCGGGCTTTCGCCACTTGAGAAGAAGGTGACTTCTCTGATAGAGGCCAAGATTTTTAACAAGGCAAAGAAGCTGTTGAGTAAGAGGCTGGGTTCACGTAAGCGTGCAACGGTCAAACTTGAGAAGCTTATGAAGATGTCTATGGAAGAATAAATGCAGTTCTAACGTTCAAATGATGTGTGGTGTTTAACAATGTATGGTATGTGAAGTGTGCATTTGCTTGAGCAGTGCAGAGTATTTTATTGCTGATACTTGTCTCGGTACTGCCCATGCTTTATGCAAGCTGTGTGTGCATGGCTAAGGCGTAAGGTGATACAAAGCTCAATCTAAGTGCAAGTTGAGGCATCAAGATGCTGGCATATGATGAATGCAAAGGCATAGATCATGCAGATCGAGCATATTGGCTGTTCCCGAATGCTTGCATGGGAGTGGTCTATGCGGATGCCATGGATGAGTGAGCGCTTGAGATAGGCATTTGATGATGAAAATTTTGATCCCTTGGAATGAGCTACACTTACGATCCTGAAGAGATCCAGTACATCATTCGTATACACAACACAAACATCGACGGTACGAAGAGGATTGCGTTTGCATTGACCAAGATTCCAGGAATTGGCATAAGAATAGCAACAGCTATATGCAAGCGTCTTGGAATTGATCTGATGAAGCGAGCAGGAGAGATTGGAGAGGAGGACTTGAAGAGGATCAGTGACGGAATCATTAATCCAGGCAGCCTTGAGATTCCGGAGTCGTATTTCAATCGCCAGAGGGATCCGATTGACGGGGTATCGTCGCACCTGATCGGAACAAAGCTTGATGCCGAGCTAAGGATGATGATTGAGAGAGGAAAGAAAAACAAGCTGATTAGAGCATTTAGACTTGATGTCGGGCTCAAGGTACGTGGCCAGAGAACCAAGTCGAATGGAAGACATGGAAAATCCATGGGAGTTGCCAGAAAGAAGTAAAGGTTTGAGCTTTTGAGTTTATTATTGAATTTGCTTATCCAACAGTTGAGTTGGTTTGTTCTATCATGCAAAGATATACATACTTGCCTTGTGCTCCAGAGTACTTTGTTTCTGGCAAAGATTTTATTGATTATGATTCTATGGAGTAACAATACAAGAGCAGCAATGGTTAGTATCCCGGGAGTTTGTCTATGCTTTCCTTGCTTACCATTCCCTCAGGGATGATGTCGTACTTGAATGCAAGCAGTTCCTTGTATGTGTTCTTTATTGTTACTTCTGTGACATTCGTAACCAACTGAATGTCTTTCTGAATCTTTCTTTCTTCCGGAAACAGATTCGTTATCATGTATATCACTGCAGCAGCAATTGAGTCTGGATTCTTTCCGGCAAGACACCCGAGTTCGTGTGCTGCCTTTGCCATCTCGGTGGCTATCTTTTGGATTTTAATGCTCAGGTTGAGATCGGAGCAAAACCTTGCTATGAGGTTTTCTGTGGACATTGCTGTCATGCGCTCAAGATGAGGAGAAATCAGCTTGAAGCTTCTTCCTATTTCCTTCTTCTGAACAGCAGTCATCACGCTGATTTCCTTGAATGTTCGTGGACAGTCTTCTTGCCTGCATGCTATGTATATGCATGCTGCAACAATGCCCTCGACGTTTTTCCCCTTCAGAAGTTTCCTTTCCTCAATATTCTTGAAGATATAATGTGCCCTATCGATGATGGTGCGCGAAAGATTCGACCTTTCGCAGAATGCAGTGATGAGATTCATTCCATGCTTTAGCGCTCTTTCTGGCCCTCTCATGCTGTTTTTTGTCTGGATATTTGCCAAGACATATGAATTGAGTCCTCCGCCCGTGCTTATCATTGTATCCAGCTGTTCAGATTCGAGATACGGATTGCTTGCGCTTCCTGTTCTGCACGGATCCACCTTATTACCGTCTCCAAAAGATCTCCACTCGCTGCCTTCGTCTATTATTCTATTTCCCACTATGCATCCACACACAGAGCACACATGATATCCGTTTTTGTAGTCTTCGATTATGTTCTGTGTTTCTCCACAATCAGAGCATGCCTGTACATATGGCTTGAACTTCGGGGTTGTCTTCATGCCTATGGGCTTGGCTATTTACAAATATATGCATTATGCAGGCTGAGTTGCAGCATCTAGTGTATTGCTTTATATAATGCAGTGTACATTTTGCAATCATCAACTTTATGTCTCGCATGTATTTGGAGGATTATTTACCGGCAGCATGTGTGATTGCAGGCCCACTCAAAGCATCCGTTTACATAATCCATGAATCGCATAAAGCAAATGCTCCCTGCCAATCCAAGAAAAGTTCTCAGAAAATACGAACTATGTATATGCTGGCGATATATACATGAAACACGATTCTATTGTATAAATACACTTACTACACAGATATAAACATCAAATGAACGGGATGATAATGAAGAACGGTAAGGAGCAGGGATATGTAAAGATACTGGCCATACTTGTAGCTGCATGGATAATGTATTGCTGCTATGTATTGATAACCAAGGGAGAGAAGGTGTCTTTGAAGCCAGACTACTCACCAAGCAAATCGAGTATTTCAGGTGTAAAAAAGATGAGCAAGCAGGAACTGAAAGACATGCTTGGCAGATCCACATGGACGTTACTTCACGTTATAGGCTCGAAGTATCCGGCGTTTCCGACATCACAGCAGAAGAAGGACACGCTAAGCTTTGTGCATCTGCTTTCGTCTGTGTTTCCATGTGAGGAATGCAGGAAGCACTTTCAAGGTTTGTTGGCAATGCATCCGCCAAGGGTGGGTAGCAACGACGAGTTCAAGACATGGTTGTGCGAAGCACACAACATAGTGAACAAGCGGATAGGCAAGCCAGAAGTTGATTGCAAAACTGTAGATGATCTGTGGGATTGTGGATGTGAGGCGTGAGCAGCTAGTGTATAAGATGTGTAGAGCCGATGTAGATTGCTTGATGTGCGAACTGAATAAGATAGAGGCGTATGCATGGATGATAGAAAATGAAGAAAAATTTGCACCCTGAAAATGTAAGTGGAGGAATGCTAATTTGAAGGACGAATGAGCAGAGAGTGAAGCGCTTGGCATCAGATATTCTGAATTGTGGAAAGTCGAAGGTATGGCTGGATATAAACGAGGTGGAGAGGCTGAACCAGGTGTCCACAAGGGACCAGGTTCGGCAGCTGATTAAGGACAATGTGATAATTATGAAGCTAGACAAGCATAACAGCCGTGGACGATTCAGAATAAGGATGGCAGCAAAGAAGAAGGGCAGACACATGGGCCTGGGAAAGAGGGTTGGAACAGCGAATGCCAGGATGCCGAAGAAGGATTTGTGGATGAAGAAGATCAGAGCGATGAGAGCAATGCTGAAGGAGATGAGAGCAGAAGGCACGATAAACAAGGAGGAGTTCAGAGTGTTCTACATGCAGGCGAAGGGGAATCTGTTTAAGCACAGGTTTTACATGAGGGATTACATTATGAAGAAGAAGGGCGAAGAGGAGAGAGCAAAGGAGCTTATGGGGCAGGCTGAGGCTTTGAGCATATCCAAAAACAATGCGGTTTCATCTTAATAAACTTTTTGTCCCAAATTGAATGTGTTATTATTTGTGTGCTGTGATGTGAAGCAAAGCTTGGGATGATTGCTGAAAATGAGCAAATGAAATGGCCTTGCGGATGGTGGATGGAGAAGACGCGGTTGATATGTACAAGATGGTCTGTAAGCCATTTAAGGAGACCGGATACTGTGGATATGGAGATTCATGCAAGTATTTGCACATCAGAGATGCAGAGATTGAGATAAAGCACTTTGGAGCGGATGATTCTGTGTGTGGGATATGCAAGAAGCGATTTGATGAGAAGGTTGTTGCGGAATGTGGGCATTGCTTTTGCTCGATGTGTGCGATGAAGAAGTACCAATATGAAGACGGATGTTTAGTATGTGGAAGCCGTACATATGGAAGGTTTTGGATTGGTTAGAATATGCTGATACGATACTACCTGGTTTCTGATAATCGATTTGTTGATGTTGAGCTTATGAGTGATGAGATAGTCACGCAGTACACCCACATGCTTACTAAAAGAATAGGAATAAGCATACTGGATTGTGACTTTATGAGGTTAGAGGATGAGCTTGAAGAGATGATGGAGAATGGAGTGACAAATGTGCATATTGATGTTATGGACACCAGCTTTGTAGGGAATCTTACGTTTGGCCCATGCGTGCTCAACAAGATTTTGAAGCATGAGTTTGTGTTTGATATTCACATGATGGTTAATGATCCGATAGTGCTTCTGCCTTTGATTGATTTGAGCAATGTATTTGTGGTGACAGTGCATCACGAGGCAAGCGAAAAAATGCAAGCGATTGAATACCTGAGAGAGAAAGGAGTGATGGCTGGGATTGCAATCAGTCCGGAAACGCGAGTTGAAGAAGTGGATCTGAAGGATGTGGGGTTTGCTCTTGTGATGAGTGTTAATCCAGGGTTTGGAGGGCAGCAGTTAAAGAGGGAATGTGTTTGCAAGATAGACCAGATCAAGAAGCAAGGGAAGCTTGCTGGAGTGGACGGAGGGCTTAATGAAAGCAGTATTGCGATGGTTATGAATGCGGACTATGCAGTTGTGGGGTCGGGATACTTCCGAGCTGAGGATCGAAGAGAATATCTTGGCAAAATTACGAGGCGATTTTTGGGATGACAGCAGCTGCATGTGTTGCATGTGAAAATACTGTTTTACAGTAAAGGAATGCTGTGTGGTTGGAAAAGGTTTAGTAAGACTTGTGCAGTGAGATACTTTTGCTTTGGAATGCCCTAGCGAATGGAAAACGGAAATGTCGAAGTGTTTGAGTCTGAGGAGAATTTAGAGCTTATTCTTGTGTATAGTGTGATATCTAAAACAAAAGTGAAAGTTGCGATCAAAAACAGGCAAAGGATGGCGAGATCGTTTGCAAAGCTACTGAAAAGTATATCGAATGGATGCATGTATTCAACCGAAGGTGAGTATGTGATATTTACGCCCGGATCGCTAAGTGGAGGAAATGTGATATTCAAATGCGAGGAAGAGATATCGATGTATATTGTGCCGTTGCTTGTGCTTTGCCCGTTTGTATCTGGGCCATTAAAGATACGATTCAAAGGAATAACGAATGGCAATATGTGTGTTGACATGATAAGAATTGCGCATTTTGGAGTGATGAGGAGATTTGGTGTTGATGGATGTGAGCTTGTGGTTAAGAAGCGAGGATTTGGGCCGAAAGGAGAGGGGGAGGTGATATTGAGTGTGAGCGGAGCACGAAAGGTTGGTGTAGTTGATTTTGTGAATGATGAGAAAATAGTAAAGGTGCGCGGGCTTGTGCTCAGCAGCCGTGTGAGCTCCATGCCGACTCGAGAAATGACTGAAGTGATTAAGAGGTTATTAGGAGGCATATCGAGGGTGAAAGTGTTTTCAAATGTATCTAACCGGCTTGACTCTGGCCCGTCGCCTGGATTCCAATGTAATGTATTTGCTGAGTCGAAGAATGGAATATACTATTCCACTGTAAATGGATGGAATGAAGAGGATGTGGATGGAAAGAGTGTAAGCAAAGTGCTAAAGCCGGAGGAAGCGGCAGAGAGGGCATGCTGCGAGCTTCTTAGGAGTATGAAGGCAGGAGGGATATTTGACAGGAAGCTTGCGTATCTAGGGCTTTCATTGATGTGTTTATCACCCAGGAGTGTGAGCAGAATGAGGATGTGCAAGGTTAATTATGAGATTGGAGGCGTGCTTGAGCTTTTGAAGAGATTTTTTAAGTTTGAGTATGAGATTAGGAAGCAGGGTGGAGGATATGTTGTTTATGGATGTGGAAATGGATACACAAATGTAATGAGACAGCTGAAATGAAAAATGGGAGGAGATGAAAACCCAGAATCGAATATATGGTAGAGGGTAGAAGTGATTTAGATCGCAAGCTCGAGGAGTTATACATCGACTATGTGGAGATTGAGAAGATAATAAACAGATTGAAGGACATCAAAAAGAGATGCACATACAAAAATGAGTTTGCAAAGGTACTGATGAAAAGAAAGTCTGGGATGAATGTTGAAATGGATGTTAGGGAAGAGGAGAGATTCTGTAAAGTTACGAAAGGGTGTATGAGATTTGATCTTGACCATGAATTTTGGAATGAGATTTCTAAGATGTTCAATACGCCACGAAATGAATGCTTCAACAGATGGATTAACAGAGTCGAGGCGTTTGATAAGATTTTGAATAAGAAAGATGCGACCATAATTAATTCTTTAGTTCAGGAAGGAAACGATTGGCTCGAGATATCTGCAAAGATGCATTGCAGGCCGTTTGATGCGGTACGCCTGTATCTTGGCATTAACACAGACACTATACCCAAGATGTGGACGTCAGAAGAAGATAGCTTACTTGAGGAGGGCGTTGAGAAGCACGGGCTTTCAAAGTGGAGATATGTGTCGAAAGTTGTGAAAACAAAAACTGGTAAGGAATGTGCAATGAGGTTTTATTTCCTGAGCAAAAATGTCAAGAAAGGCAAATGGTCGGATGACGAAGAGCAAAGGCTTGTGCATGCGGTCAGTATCTGTAAGGAGGGTGATTGGAGATGTGTTAGCAACCATGTCATGACACGAAACCCAATCCAGTGCAGATCAAAGTACATCCAACTCAAGAAATGCGCACAGCAATATTCTGAATAAACACATACTATTCAATATTCTCATCCATTCGCTGTAACAATTGCATCCATTCTTCTCTGCTGCATTTGCTTTATCAGCTGCTCATTTCCTCATTCACTAGCTCTACTCTACCTACTCCTTCATGAATGACTTCACAAGCTCATCAATCCGCTCATTCTCCCACAGAATGCCGCCTCGCTTCTGCACAAACCCAATCAGCCTTTCTCTGAATTCATAGCTCAGGCTCTTTCCCTTGCCTTTGATGGCTGCCTTTCTGTGCGAAAGAATCGTCTCAACTCGGCTGCTTGCCAACAATGCGCAGCATCTGCCTTCATCAAATGCTCCTGCACGCCTTTTGCACACATCCTGCAGCTGTGACCGTAAACATCCTGCCACACCTGCTTTTTCCTGAGCCGGGCTCAGCAACGCATTCACTTTGTCCATTCGCTCAATGCTCTTCTCAATAATCCTTGCACTCTCAATGCTTGTTTTCCGCATGTCTTTGCCAATCGCTTTCTTTATTTCTGTATACTGTGTTGGATTCGCATGTATAAACACAATCTTGTCTATCTGTGCCTGTATCTCCTTCAAAAGACACTTCACTGTTCCATCCTTGAATTCTACGCTCATGCTCTGCTTAGCCATATCCATGTGGCGGATGGCCCAAATAATTGTTTATGCATTACACTATGGTGAGGATGCACAGACTTGAAAGGCGTGTGCTTGAGTGGGCACTGGAGCTCACAGTCAATGACATCATGCCTTATTCAGCATGCAACTTGCTGAAGACGTCAAAACGACGCGCTTTGTCCAGCAGAAAAAACAACACGATTGTTTGCTTTTCTACACAATCATCTGCACCGGCTGAACAGCACACAGTGTTTGATAAGCAGCCTTGCGTGTCTGCAGAGCTATCTTCTACACCAGTTGGCTTCATCATGTTCAGATTCGCTAGAACAGTCATGTATGTGTTTGAACTGCATGTTGCAGAGCCACACAGGTCGCAGGGCATCGGGTCAATGCTGCTGCTCCAAAGCATACAGGCATATGCTGATAAAACATCCAGTGTTGTTCTGTATGTCCACAAGCAAAACACCAGAGCACAGGCTTTCTACTCAAAAAACGGATTCAAAATCAACCACACATATAAAAACAAATCGTTCCATGAAATGGTATTTAATATACTCAAACAGTAGGCGTCTGCAATCAAAACATTGGCCTTTGCACAATGCATTGCTTCATAATAAAACCGCCTTCTGCATCTATCATTCTCGGGTACCATCGCATGCTAACAAAGCCTCAACTGTGTGCTTCTCCATCTTAATCATAGAATCTCCTTGCTCAATCCACACTTTACATGTCTCTTCGACTGTTCAACAAATCCTCAATCATTGCTTTGCTTCATATTCACTCTCCATCACCATCATGCACACACATATCTATAGCTTTGCATCTACTATCCTCCAGTCTATTACCAGCATGTCTCTTCACTACAGACAATCCCATCATCATCAGCAAGACAATCTTTAACCACTGTAGACTATTCATATTCTGCATCTTAGTATCTGCATCTACCACATCTATTGCTTCATTCCATTCATTTTCTTCTTGCTCTCTTGCTCTTCCATCATTTATTGCAAGCATTAAACACTTCACCAACTTGCTAGTATTTTCCGATTTACATGCCGCACTCTCTTTATTTGTTTCCTGAATTTCCGATTTTCCTTCATTGCATAATAGTATTCTGATCAATACATATAAATATTGTTTCATATACATCATATTTATTGCAGCATTCTGTTTATCATCAGAGCTATTCAGTAATTGCAACACTCTCTTCTTTAAGATATGTATATAACTATTATCACTGCAAATCTTACTACTCATAAGCTTTTCAATATACTGAAATACATCATATTTAGACTCTAAACTTGCTTCCTCAATCTTTTCATTCTTATTCTCAATACATTTCTTGTTACAGCATAGACAATTGCAAATTCCCTTCTACCAGCTTACATCAGCAGCACTTTCAATTTCTGCCTGTGATGCTTCAATATCAATTATCACCATACCAGTACTGTTAATCACATCATTTTTTTCTTGATCTTCTAGATACACCAGTATGCCCTTCAAACATCTCCTATCCTCCTCATTCATGAAATCCTGTATTGCCTTCGTATCATCATTCAGCCTCTTACACTCCTCTCCAGTCAACACCTCATTAAAAATCATTCTTCTCATTAATTTTTCGCTTATATTATTCACTCTTTCGATTATGCTCGGATTTATTGGATCAAATCCGTAATAATCCCGTAGTATACTGACTAATTCCATTTTTATTTCATGATTATATGAGCCGTTCTTAAATATATTCGCTATCATGTATATAGTATTATTATTATCTAGCAGCGTCTTTATATTTTTGCTTTCAACTATTTTTTTCAATATATCTACCAATAGAATCTCCTTAGAAACTAGCTCAGGTTCTGCTGTTATGCTTTAATCAGACATAATAGGGGTTTGCCATACACACTTATGATTATAGTCCATATGCTTGCATTTGCTCACATTCACTATGCATTGCGCATTGCACTACATGTATACATATGCATATGCCACAGAGTAGATATATTCGTTTATTCACATTGGGTAGCTGATGAAGAGTATATAAGTCATTGTGCATGCACAAGCAACATGAGATACAACAACCAGTGTTCCACTTCTTACTGCATGCCTTTTCAATTAAGCATCCACTCCTACTCATTCATTTACAATACATTTATTTATACTGTCTCCAATTTACACACATTACTCTCAATCATCATATTTCGCTTACTGAGTTCACTTGCTGGCATGATTTTATTATATTTTATCATTCGATTTATCAAATCGTTATAGATCGATGTCAATATAATCAGTATCAATATCATTAATGCATTCTTCACACTATAATTCTTCTCCGCCCCATTATTCAACGCATTGCTTTCAGAATTTTTTATCATCTCTCCAAGATATGGTAATCCTTTGATAATCTTTTCAATATTTTTATCCCATTCTTCATTGCTCAACTCGTAATGTATATAAATTTTCTCTTTGCATATTTTTTTCACAACAGTATACACTATTCTCTCCCATTCATCAGGCGTCATTTCATTCAGCATCTCATCGGCAGACTTGCTTTGATCACTTCTACTCTTATTCTTATCTTTGGATCCCTTAGCATACTTATTACCACTCAAACTCAGTAAATCATTCGCTGCTTTGTCTATTTCACGAGCAATTAGATTAACAGCACTAAACATTCCAATCCTTTCCATCAAGTATATGTATATATTACTTTTGATTTTGTTGCAAAGCTTTACTACTTCATTATATACATCCTTGTATTTCTCTTTTATATCCTTAGCATAGCTTATCATCTGATCTATGATGCTTAGCAATCCACACAGGTATTCATTACTGTATTCATCCATTTTACGTGTGTCTAGTATCATATCGCATATCATTTCACGCAATTTTTTATTCATACTATCCACTTTACCTTTGAGTATGTCAGTATCCTTCATACTTTGATTCACTTCAGAAATCATTCCGTTTATTGTTTGAACTATGCGTATGATATTCCATTTTAGAACGACTCCATTCAATTCATTTGTCTGGATATCATAACTACTATCTTTCAATTCTTTGCTTACAATCAACCCATAAACTATTGTTAGTATATGCATCACTTCTTGCATATATGCTTTATACTTTTCTAACTTAACATAATCACGAATAATCAAAATCTTATGTATATTATTTAAAACATTTTCATACATATTGAAGACTTCTCTAGAAGATTCTCTGCGTATTGACTGTACTGATTGCACTACTTTCACAGCTATTGGCTTTTGTTGCAATCCTTTTTTTATTTTATCAGCTAGTTGTGTATTATTAATTCTTCGCAGTATGTCATTCTGCTCATTCTCAGGTTTATTTATAAGCTCATTAACAATATTCTCATTGATTTCAATCTTAGCTAGCAAGGCTTCCATATACTCCTTGCCAATTCCGCTTGACACACCATTTAGCAATCTGTTAAGCTCATCAACATCATCAGCTCCATTCAATATCTTTGCAATTATTTCTGGCCATTCTTTAAGACCAGAAATCATGTTTCCCAAGTCATTATCATCATCAATGCTCAGCAATATATTCGCCAAATACTCATATCCATGATTTGTTGATATACAGTCAACCATAGATGCTACCTGGCTCTTGTCTCTAACACCAAGTAGCATGTCTGCTATTTTATTTACATTCAGCCGATCCTTTCGTCCATTCATTCTCACATCCTTCTTCTTAGTGTTACCATAGATCAAGACATCAATTTTGTGCTCACACCCCAGTTGCTTCAGTACCTTCTTTCTTTCTTCGTCACTCATATCCAGCAACAAGTCATACACACCGCCAACTCCATACACTCGCCATACTTTGTCTATTCTCTGTTGCACATCGAGATATCCTGTATTTGCATCAGTAGG